ATTCCACAGCAGTTTTTCAGGAAAACCTGCCATAAATAGTTCAGCCAACATGTAGGGAACATTTTCACAAGAAACATCACCGCCTTCACTGGCCTGTACTCCCCAGAACAATGAAACCAAATGACACTGTTGTCAAAAATAGAACAATGTTACCATGTTTGTTTCAGGCTCTTTGTGAGCACTGGTTCTTAAGGTAACTTTGTTTTTAAAAGAGGGCAGTCTCTCTGCCCAGCCTTAACCTTCATCCTGTCGATTGACGCCACCACTGTCCAAGTGTGCGCTCAGGTCATAATGGAGTGTCCCTTTTTAACTTTTCAACTAAAGTGCAACAAAATCAACATCCTCAGTTACCTTTGTGCATATATCTTTATATCATTCCATTTAATATCCCTTATGTTACTGTGTTTGCCCATAGGAGGACTTTTACTTGAGGTGATCTTAAAATCTATTTTCTATGACTATCAGAACATGTCTATTTCATATATCTATGGGCAGCATGTAAATCAGAAACATAATCCTATTTCTATTGTGCGGCAATACATATCAATATTTACACATAAACTGCTATCCTGTGTATGAGGATAAAAATACTTTCCATTTTATTTTCAGGTTTATGAAGCTGGGGAAACCATATAAATCAAGTTCACCTCAATGTCAATTATGCTCTCATGTTTTCAAGTCTGACAGGCTCCACAAACACAAGTGTGCACCTGCAAGCCTGTGCATTTATTTAAAGGGGACCTATCATGCAAAATGCACTTTTGTACGTCTTTTATACATGAATATGTGTCCCCGGTGTTCCAGGGAACTCACCAAGTGTCAGAAAACACAACCCTCTCTATTTTCCTCCATACCCAAATCTCTAAAAAAGGGGCTGCAACGGATCTGATCTGACTGACTGACGTCAGTAAAGTGGCGCTACGGCTATTGGGCCAACTCTCCACCTATCAGGGGAATGTGGGGTTGGGCCACGGCCGGCCATTGCCGCTCGAAAGCGCTGGAGACGCTGTAGTACATATGCCAGGCCTGTAAGTGGCGCTGTAGTCTGCCACAAAAGCAGCGAAGAAGACTTCCCGCGCATGGTTGCTATGGTTAAATTAATTAAATTAAATTGCTCTTATTGTCATTTCACAGTACAGGTACTATGTAACGAAATTGTTCCTCTGCATTTGACCCATCCTAGTGTTAGGAGCAGTGTGCTGCCGTGGACGGCGCCCGGGGAGCAGTGTAGGGAACGGTGCCTTGCTCAGGGACACCTCGGTAGCATTTGGTCTTGCCGGGACTCGAACTGGTGACCTTCCAGTTGCCAAGCCAAGTCCCTATCGACTCCTTCTGTTTATTCTCCGCTGTGGCTTTCTTTCTCCCTCCCCGAGGCAAGCGTTTGCTCCCGCTGCTTTAATTCAATGCAATCCCTCCCCGTCGAGGCAAGCACTGTAATTCTCTCCGGTTAGTCCACCAGCAGATGACAAACACCCACCTCTCCGCCTCTTCCAAGGAACGAGGGGACTGTGCGGCAGAGTTTCAGTTTCTTTCGCCGGTCAAGATGTCCGTTAAAGTTTAAATCTTCCGGACAAAATTAGAAAAGTGCCGGTCAAAGGTCTTCTTTGTTATTTATTGAGCTTTAAAACAAATGAATAACGACTCTATAGGCCTATAATAATATAATAAAACACGGAGGACGGAGATCTATTTTTCTCCCCCTCTTCTGACTTGATCAGAGCACGCTCCCCTCTCCTGCAGGGGGGCGTGGTCAGCTGCAGCTCACAGAATCAGCCCCCTGCAAAAACAGGGCTGGAGAACAGCAAATAGAGCGAAATGAGGCATGGCTAAAATGCATGATCTGTTTGGTATTTTGAAAACAGAAACGTATAAATATACCTTATATAGGTATGGCCCTACAATATATCATTTAAATATAGCATGATAGGTGTCCTTTAAATGGGGCAGAGCTTGCGGTTGAACATGCACAGACTGAATGGTTAGATAAATGTACCTGTATCATATTAAAATGAACTGATACGGTGAAAATAATTGTCTTGTACATCACTAACACACAAGTGTATGGTACACAATAATTGTGCTAGTGTGTTGGTCTCTTCATTGACATATTAAATATGTATTTATTGCAAAATCCCCTCTTTTTTTTATTTGAGTGTTCCCTTTACACAAAAGAAAGATAGAGGTAATAAACCTGAAGTATAATATATAATAAAAACACATGGAAGGCGCATATTTGACTTGACTTACGAAATGAGTTATATTTGTTTTGGTTGGATATTTAATATATTTTTTAAAGAATGAAAGGGGTGAATTTTGTTCACCATCACGAACACTAGAATCATGTTAGGAGAGGATTCCTTCAGGGCCAGGATGGACAGGAGGGAAGATTACAGCAACTGCTAAATCTATGTCTGTACATACAGTCACATGTGCATTGAGCCTGACTCCAAACATCTGATCCTATCCTTCAAGTTCCTTTGAGAAAGGGGTGAGCCGATTGTGTTCACAATTAATGACAGAAATCCCCCTGAGTGTAGAGGGGAATTATTTTAATTGAATAGTGTCCATCTATTAGTCTACCGGGGCTTTCTTCCATATCTGTGCATCAAACAGTCTTATCCCTCCATGAACTTTGAGCCAGAGTAATCAAGATCACTTTCCCAAAGCTGCTGCTCCAAAAGGGATTACATTGGTTAACCTCTCGCTTCAGCTGACTCTCATCGGCCGGCCTCAGAGCCAGGTCTGTCTGCTTTACTGACTCCACTTTCATCGGGCCGCCTGCACAGCTCAGCTCATCGCCTCTCAACCAGATACCATTGTGCTCCTGGAACACCTCAGTGGACCAGAGCGCTGAGCAAGATACAAACGAGGCTCCCAGATTAAGACACCACAGTTCACTTTGAAGTTTTGTCCGTAATGACCTCTGACCTCCACAGCATTTGAAACGCAAGTGTTGTTGAAAGGAAGAATGATGTTTTTGAAAAGGCTTTTTAAAACCGGTGATTTACCCATTGTCCTGCTCTGTGAGATCAAAAGGCTTTAAGTCGCTTCACATTCGCTCTCCGCACTGGATGTAAACCGGTCAGCCGCTGTGTATAGATTACTCCCATCTCCACTGATGGGAAATGTATGCTAATGGCTGTGATAGCTCCTAAAACAGATATTAGCAGTTAATGGTCCCCTGCTGCTTTGCTGCTGTTTCTCTTGAATGAAAGCCCTTGTGTGCTAAAGGACAAAGCAACATTCTGCTCATAGCCTATCTCGCTGAGTTCAATTTAAGAGGAAATGAATGTTTGGCCCTTGGTAGATTGCTTCCTCCAGCTTCCCTGTTGTTGGCTAGCTGCTGTGTGCTGCCATATGACGAGAGGAGTCTTTCCTCACAGTTGGCTAACGTTACATTATGCCCGCCATTGCTGGCAGACATCTCTGTGAGATATATATCACTGGCAGCACAATAAGGTGAATCATTGAATTAGAGTAAAGTTAATTGGGCCACAGATATCCCTTGCTGACAGCTCGGCTCTTAAACAAACATTTAGCCTCTATCAATAGACCGTTCATGATGCAAGAAGAAGGGACATCACAGAGCCATTTTGTCGTATGAACCTCAGACAATGTCCAGAGAAGAAGGTCAGCACATTGTCGCGAGTTTCCTTTCACACGTAGCACACAACAGGAGATTGGGCGTTTCAGAAGCCTTCTCACTTACTGGAAATACGATTGCAAGTTGCGATTGTAAGTTTAAGGAAGGGATAGGACCTATGGACCTATATAGAGGAGGCACCACCCTATAAGCAAAACAACTTTACGTTTGGAATTTGGTCAGTTTTCTTGCTGAACCTTGAATTTTTCGGACAATGTACATTAATAGAAGTCCCTGATTTGTTGTCTCTACAGTTAAACATTTTGTTACCATTTTGTGTAAATTACCCTTATTTAAGTTTTAGCCAGCAGCGATAGAAACGTCATCAACGGCAATTGCAAATTAGTGGGGCCCTTCAAAATGGGTTGAAATAGGAACAGACTACAGGGAGCTTCTATTGAACTGTTTCGAACATTTGCGTTTCCATGTCATTCAAATCATGTCAGGCTTGCAGTGTGTGAAAGGGACTATAGAAAGCCACTAAAGGTGACACTGTTTGTTTTTCTCTTGAACACATGGACAAAGAGCGGCCCAGTGACCTTTAACTGCAGCTGGATATCTGATGGGCTGCTGTGAGTGTTTCAGAAAGGGTCACTTTCAATATCAGGATGCCTCTGGTTTCTACTGCGGAGAATGGTGCCCATTGTCCCAGGGACATGGGGCATTTGAAGGTAGATTTAGGAGTTAATGAGGTTGTATGGGTGCTTTCCTAGAAGCCTGACTAGAAGACCAAGGTAACCCTAATAGATATGAAGGATCCACCCTTTGATCACCGGTCTGTCCTGATGCTTAACTGGAGAAGCAATAGAGGCCCGGGCAGGGGAATGAAGGAGAGGCTTTCATTCAAGCTTTTGTCTGAACTCTGTCTTCGTGCGTGTCCCTGTGAAGGGCTGGTGTCTTCCTCAGCCTGTCCATCACAATAAGCCTCTTGATTCCTTAATGACTGTGAGAGAAAAGCAAAAGAAGGGGGTAGGGGATGTAACCTGTAATCTATTTTAGAGGACAGTGTTGTTGTATAGACTTGAACAGGTGTTTTAAGCATAGAGAGCTATGATGCAACACTGTATTACAGCCTCTATAATATCAACAACAAGTCAATTAGAAAAGGATTAAGGGATAGAGATCTGTGTGCCCTCAGACTCTCCTAACAGGCTGAAGGGGAATCAGACGGGAAGAGTGAGAAGCTTGTCTGTGTGTCTGAGCCAGCAGACAAACAACAGAGCCAACAGAGTGTGTTCAGGTATCAGTTTTCACAGTGCGGAAGCAGAGATGCAGGGCGGACACTGAAGCTAAACACTGTTTTGATCACTGGTTCATATTGCTTGTATTGTGCGTGTGCAAGCAAAAGAGACTGTCATTAAAAAGGTATGTAAGTATTTTATTGCTTTTGTTCAGTTGGAACACATTCTCGATAATATTCATGACACTTTTAAGCATTACAACCTGACAATCTCATACACTTTGACAGCATAAGTAAACTCGATTGGACAACTTGATGCTTCATATATGGGTTAGCATTCATATATCAACTTTGAAATACATAAATAACGATAACTGTGCATCTCATATCAATATACACATTCAATACATAAATACATATTATGTACAATGGCACAGCATAGAAAGATAACTTGATTCCTTATGAAACAATGGAAAATATACAGATTCCTTGCTTGATCCTCTCATAAATACTTGCTCTCAGATCTCTGACTATAGAATACATAACATGTCCTCCTTAATAAATGAGTGAGAACTCAGTGTGGTGTAATTCACAGTCGATAACATTCAGTGCATCCGAGACCCTGTAATACAAGCCATGAACGCAGTCACATGTTCGTTAAAATAAGCTCACTGAACTTCATGGGTCAAACATGGGAAATTAAGCGCCTGAGTGTGTATGAATTTGGCAAGCACAGTTTTGTGTGTGTGCCGCTTAACTCAAGCAGCCATGTTCACGCAGCTCACTAACTGGAACATCAAGACATGCAGGGTCATGCAAGTGTTCGAGATGTTTATACAAATAATGATTTTTTTTTAATGAGCAGGTTGATAACTGTTTCCTCGCGCCACAGATGATCTTCTCTTATCCCTGAAACCAGGCTGTCCCTAACTTGATTAGCATAAACATTAGCCTCTCTGCAGCTTCATCTTTGTCCCAGGTGTTAGTAGTAAAGGCCCTGTTCACACCTGGCGTTTACATGCGTTATTTGGTGATCCCATCACAGTTGATCAACTCTAAGTACAGGGTTGACTACTCCCAAGATGCATTGAAGACTCATTAAGATTTGATCACTCAGTCCACATTTTTAAAGCAAGGTTAATTATCACAACTTTTAAAGTCGTACTGTTCACTCGGGAGGCGTACAGTTGTTGTTCTCATACTAGAAGACTAATTGCTGACAAGGGGTCAAACACTTCAAGATCTTTGACTAGGAGGAATTTCCAATGAGTATTGATTTCAAAAGTAAAAATGTTTTACAAAAACACACGGGAGAAATGACGTTATACCATGCGTGTATCATGCTGCTTGACGTTGTTGTTGGTATGAACTGACGCATTGGATCTTTCCACGTGTGATCAGATCACTTGATGTGCATGCTAACGCCAGGTGTTAACATGGCTTCTGACTTATATAGGTAAAAGACTGCAGCTCTGCGCCTGACACTGCATTCCCATGAAGAAATGCAAGACCTCACACCCCTTAACCTCCCTCTTTTCCCAGACTAACTGCTGACTGAGTGGCTGCACGGGTTCACCTGCCGGCCTCGGCGTGCACGCCTGGACTTTGAAAGAGAAGCCAATCTGCTGACTCCTTTGACCGCTGGCTTTGAAATGGAGCGTGTTTATTTGACTCAGTTCTGCTATTAATAGCTCTGTGCCGTTCACACGCCCCATTGAGAACTGCTCATCACGTGCGGGTCGTGAGGCTGACTTTGGCACAAACATTGGCTACTAGCACTAACATAAATCAGAGGCTAAATGTACCTGACATTGGACAAGGAGTGTGCGGTCTAAAGTGTGCGAGTATTTGCTGGTGTAGGATGACTCTGTGTAAAATGAGTGCATGACTCAGGGATCTGATGTTACGTTTGAATTCAGTTTGAGTGCTTGGTAACCTGCTTTATGGCACATTCACAATGCTGAAATGAGACTTCGCTATGCATGCATGAATGCTGATCGAACCCTTACAGCACCATTCGTAAGACGTTCCTGAAACGCCTCGGTCATTTGTGTTGTAAGAGGGGAACACTGTAAGTCCTGCCTGCACTACGACGTGGTCTATCATCTTAGCTACCATGCGATGAGGATGTTACAAACCGGGGTTCAGCTGAGGAGTGATACAGAACTAATTTTGTTCATGGATGTCGCAGTGCAGCACGGAATGCTTCGCTTTAGTTGGGTTGGGATAGTCCCAAGGCCGTGGCGATGGTGGCCATCAGGAGGGCGGAGCTGGCCAGGATCACTGCGCCTCCCGACCGGAACACCTGCCGACCGTTCAGGGGCTGGACCGGCCTGAAGGTCTCTACCATCAAGGTTCCATCGTGAAACTTGAGCTCAGAGAACGCCCGCAACTGGAGGAAGATAGAAGATGGACACAAAGGGTCTAAATGTCAGTACAATATTGTATTTCTTGTACTTTCTTTGTGTATTTCCATTTGACACTGCTTTATACCTTTCACTCTTCTACAGAGGGAAACATTACTCTTTACTCAATTATCTTTATCTGACAGCTTTGATTACAAAAAATTATAAAAGAGGTTTTATGAATGGTTATGAAATACCACACATTGCTGACCAGTGGTTCCTCAACTGTATGGTATGTGACTGCTTACAAAAGAGCAGTGTCTTGTTGGGGCCCCTTGTCACATTTTAGATGTCTATGAGGTCCACCAAATTCCATCATATTCCACCTTTTCATTCTCCAAATGGGGCACAATGAGGTAAAAAAAAACAGTATTCCACTAAAAAAGGTTATAGGAACCAAGCAAAAGCTCAAGCAGAGGTTCTCTTTTTTTTCAGGACCCCTTACAAGGTGATTATATACTGGGTCCCTGGAATATTTTAATCCAGCCTATTCATTATACTTCAATTATTACATGGTCATTATGAGAAGGAACACAGTAGAAATGTTTAGTTAGATATCGGGAATTTTGTAACGGTCTCCTATCATACAAAATCTGTTTGGTATTTTGAGCAAAACACTTCATAGACATGTTTTTTAATATATATTTATATATCTGAGACGTATATGCCTACAAATAGTATAATATGAGACCTTTAAGCAAGTTTGCAGATTGAAGTCTTAATGCTAACCTGTTCCATGCTTAGAGGGATGGGACTCTCAAACAAGGTCCAAACCACAGCCTCCGTGCAGCCTGGAGTGGTCAGAGAGCCCTTGTAGCGGTAGTAGCTGGTCAGATTCTGCTCAGCTGGGATGAGTTGTGCCAGGGAGACGGGAAGCAGAGAAGTGTTGCCATCTGAAAACAGAAAAGCCACAGATAAATTGTTGGCATCACTGCTGAACAGCCAGAATTCTTTACTTGCTTATAATTTAACTTTACAACTTACTTGCATTTTTGATGCTTCGTAGGGCATTGATGATGGGGTCATACTTTAGGTTTGCCCTATTCGACGTCTGGAAATATAAATTCACATTTCAGCACTGTGTCATCCTAACATAGTCGGTTCTGTAAAAACAGATTGATCTCAGGATACAGGATTTAAAATGGTTACCTCGTAGAAGAACCCAAGGACTGCAACTCCCTCTGGGTCTGAAAGGGCTGTTGTCAGATCATTGTAATGGTGCTTCATGTGCACAATGTGCAGCTGTTGAGACCAAATTGCTGATGTTACCACTTTCAAACAAAGTCATGTTTAACAGTGTCTGTAAAATAGGAGTGCCTCTGCCAACATTTTTGGTTTGGTTTTGATGTTTGTTACAGAAATTACAGAAAAACATCTGGACCTATTTCATAAAAAACTTGGTGGAAGGATATTGTATAGGTCAAAGAATAACACATAACGTTTTTGAGTGGATCCTAATTCCATCTCTTATACATATATTATATTTGACTTTTTTTCATGCTCTCTCTAAGTGCCTTTTTAGTTTGTTGAGTAGATTCCATGCTTTAAGAATTTAACACTTGACATAGTTCAAGTGAATCAGTTTTCTATCTAAATGTGAGAGAAGGCCCAATTGGTAATTTTGACCATTTAAATATTAAAGATCTCCTATCATGCTATCAGATATATAAAAATATATAAAAAACATATCTATCATGTGTTTTACTAAAAATACACCTCAAAATACCTCATAGCCCTCTATTTCAGCCCTGTTAGAGAATGGCTGATTCTCTGCTGGCCCCGCCCCCCTTTTGAGCAGCAGGCACACTGTGAGTTCTGTGACGAGCAGGCTGTCTGCTCTGCTCAGATGCAGCTAAATGCTGCCGTGATTAAATGCCATAATCATGTTCCAAACCACTTCAAGGATTTCACTTCTGAAACAGTATAGAGTTTAAATGCTTATTTTCTTGCGGGTTTACCACAAGGTGAGTTCTTTTTTTTATGTCCTGCTTTTTTTACACATACTCTCTCCAGTACAGGTTAGCTGTGAGGGTTTATCGATGCTTGCTAATGTAAACAAAGACCATATTACGTCCAAAACACGTCGCGCATTATTTCTGATAGCGACGTTTCTGATAGGGCCGTGGGTGTAAAGCCAGCCCACATTTCCGATATTACGTCATATCGAACGCAAATTTGGATCAGCTCCATTGTACCCCCGTTTTTAGAGATGTGGGTACGGAGTAAAAGAGAGAGGCACTTTGTGAGTTCCCTGGCACACCGGGGACACATATTTATGTATAAAAGACATAAAAAAGTGCATTTTGTATGATAGGACACCTTTAAGTCTGGTGATATTATTTATTCTCAACAAATTCCTTGAAGACCAAAGCTATTGTACAAACATGCCTGTTTATCCAAAGCCTGAAATATCTCATTCATCTGTGCCAGCGAGCTCTGTTTCAATAATCAGTGATCCACATCATAACACTGGGTGACACGTTCCTTCAGCATGAGTCAACCCTTTATACACATTTCTGCTGCTATAAATACTCACTAAATCGCTGAATCTATGGCAGAAAATAGCTCCAAACAAAACACTACTCAAGCCTTTGTAAAAAAACAAAAACTACAGCAATATATTTGTGCCCTCTTTTTAAATATTAATGTATTGAGTAGGAATGAATGGGCTTGAGGCTGGGAGCCACAGTCAGGTAGGAAAGTTAGCATTGAAAGGTGGACTAATGCACTAATTTTCTTTTGTGAGAAAAATATAGAATTTACAGTATATTCACATATGAAAAGTTTAATCCATACAGATAAGATAAGATAAGAGATAAGATGGTACTTTATTGATCCCAATTTGGGAATTTGTTTGTGTAAAAAGACAAGGCATTGTACAATAAAAACAGGAACAGAGACCTGATCCTTAACCTTCACTAAAGACAAGCTGTGTGTGTTGTTAAGGTTAATATACCTCCATGGGATACTGCTCTCCATCGATGGTGTGTTCGGAGCCGGCCCCCCCGTTGTTGCCCCAGTGCAGGTGGAACTGCACCGCCTTGTAGCTGGTCGGCAGGCCTCCATCTGAGACGGTGCTCAGGTGAGGAACTCCCACCTGAACTGTAGAAGGCAAACACCAAAAGTCACATAACAGCTCAACTGCATTGAAGGCTATCTGATGGAACATATGCTCACCTGAGTGGCCGTTGTTCTTGATCGTGCCTCTGAAGATCTGCTGGTAGTTATCAAACTTGAAAGGAGTCAGTCTCTCATCCTTTAAAGTCTTTCTGGTGACGATGTTGATGGGCGACTGTTGTTTTCCTTCACAGTTGCTGTTAGCGTGGTTCCACTTCTCTGGGCCTAAAACAAGAAAAATACAAATTTAAAGGGACATTCAACTCTAAAATCAAAACAGATAATTTTCTTCTGACTTGTAGTCTAAATTGCTGTTGTGATTTGCTAAGTATTGGAGATAATGGTACGAGTTGGCAAGAGCCTTTCACCCATATAGGATAGAGTTCCTTCTGGTTGGTTTTGCGATAGAAGGAAAAAGGTTTTTGTCACCAAGCACCACAAGTTCAGTCACATACTTTATATCACATAAAGCGATCATGACTTCTGGAAAGACCCATTGTTCCTGAGATTCTTTAATTTATTTTTTGGAGCACAACATGAGTGCCATCTCAGGGACTGTAAATCCTCAACCACCAAATGTATTATTGGAGTACCACATGGATCAGTCCATAGTCTTCTCCATTTTCCCTTTAGATTAAATATTTCAATTACAACATAGCAAGTTTCAATCTTTTTTCAATTGCAAACAACAGCATATTCCATGTTTTTTTGCATCATCATAACATAACTGTAACTCTATAAGTATTGCAAGTCAGTACAACTTGTCCAAACATCAGCCAAATCAGGGTTATTTTCTCAAAGTATTTTATTCTGTGCTGCATTTTTTCTATATTTCACTTAGTTGTTACATTACAATTTTGTTTGCACTTGTGGTTGCTTTATCTCCTGTGTGAATTACTTTGTAATTAGCTTTTAAAACCACTATATAAATAAAGTTTTATCATAATCAAACAATGTTTGACTTATCCTATTTTAAAAATCTTACCATTGCAAGGATGATCACAGCTGAACTGCGACTGATAGCACCAATCTGAAACACAGAAATTGGGAAATTGTAGAATTGTCACAGCAAAAAGTGACACTTGTATGACTTAATATTGTAAGTCAGCACAACCACACACACACATACACATACACATACACATACACATACACATACACATACACATACACATACACAGTATCAGTCAGCCTGCAGTAGAGCTGTGCAATTAATCGTATTTTAATCTCGATTACGATTTTGGCTTGCAACGATTACGAAAACAACGTAATCGAAATAAAACGATTATTATTTTTATTAAAAAAAAAAAAAATGTAATTATTAATTTTTTTTTTTTTTGTTTTGTTTTTTTTTTTCAGTTGAATTATACTTAAAGTTCAGGGTAATCAACTGTTAAACATATACTGTTCACATTTTTGTTTCAATAAATGGATGTTTTCAAAGTAAATGGATAATCGTTTTTAATAATCGTGATATCAATTATTGACCAAAATAATCGTGATTAGGATTTTTGCCATAATCGCACAGCCCTAGCCTGCAGTGATAACCTCTGTGTGACACAAGCAAGCCTGAGCCTATTGTGATGAACATATACACTGTCCCGCTGGGTTGTCATGTGTATTTACAAATGTGACCTTATATTTATAGTTGATTTGTTCTCCTTACTGCAAACAGTGGATTGTTCTCATGTTGGTTTAAGTCAGCGGTTTTTACCGGCCATACAAAACCCCTATACACAGGAATTGTCTTCCTATACACAAGAAAGTAGCTGTCTGTGCTTTATCTTTTCGTGCTATCAAAATAAACACAGAGCCAATCTCTTGCATCAGGGAGGTCCCATTGTCACATGTTTGTCTCTGGGTTTATTAATATTTAACAATTGGTTTGCATGATTCCACCCCGTACTCTGAAACAAATATCTGCAGCTATCTAAGAAATCAAATATTTATAAAAAAAACACACATGCCATTGAAAAAATACGAGCAAAGTCTCCCGCTCTGTTATTGGTGTGAGGACTTCTCCCCATTTGTGTGAAGGAAATCTCTGTTTTGTTTCTTTGCCATGTTGGTTAGCTGTTACCTCCTGTTCTGGCGTGATAATGCCTACTGAATATAAATACAGCAGGGGGGCCAACATTCACATTGTATTCACTGGTGCCAACACTCAAGTACTGGTGGCCGGGCATAAAGAGATGCAAATGTATTCGATTTATTTGTATATTGTTGTTATTTTTGAAGGATTTGCAAACAAACAACTGAAGATGAATCTTATAATTCTAAATCCTAAAATCAGAGGTCTCTTATTAGTACAAATCTGACCTATTTATACTTTATTCGGCTCATCATTTTTATACTACTTTACAACATTCAAGTATTTGACAGCTTTAGTTACTATTTCCTCTGGATAATCAGACTAAAAAAAATTAGATTGTTTTTATTTTTATCAATAACATATTTACAAGCTACCCATACATTATACGTTAAGTAACATATACAATATATAAATAAGTTCTTACTTTACTAGATGCAACATTTAAGTGATTAAACCATCAATGCGTAAATAACTAAAAACCCAACAATAAAATACTTATGATATATATATTTAATGTATTCCTATCCATGGTACTTTAAGTTTTGGTTGATGCAAAAAAATGTGTATACTAAAGTCGAATAATACTTTTATTCATGCTTTGTAAATCATACTAATACATAATGTACATCTGATAACTGTGATAGTGTGACAGTATATATATTGTTTTATCATGTAGGAGTATTCTATTTTACTTTATATGTCTATTCCACTTAATTTCAGTGGGAAATTATTGTACAATGTACTCCAATGCATTTATTTGGCTGCTAAATTCACTGGTTACTTAACTAATGACTACATTAATACAAAACACAGCTCATAGAAAATAAAGTATACCGCTATAGATTCAACTAACTGTCATTTGTATAAGTATTTGAATATAGTTTAATCTCTAACAACTACAGGACAGAAATAATAATCGTTTAATAGTAGGCTATAACACAACCTGGAGCTATTTACTTCCAATACTTTATACAAACCTTGCTAAAATAATTCAAACTAATACATTATAGGCCTAATATAACGTTTTCAACTCGATATTTATGGTCTGTTTTATTTAAACAATGAAACGGAAAACTTCCTCCTTCACTGTCTGTGAGTAGAAATATCTATTTTTACGACTTTTTGTAGCGCGTATTTCTCTCAGCCAATCAGATTTCTGTCCGCACAATTCTTGACCAATAAGCGCCGGGCTTTGATCTCCGTGAGCCGTAGCGCAAACGAACAATATGGATGTGTTTCAATGAATCTGAGATATCTGCCAAGAGAGCAAAGTGAGGAAACTGTGAAGAAGAAAATAAAAGGCAGTGCAAAGAAAACCAATATAGGCCACGTCTGCGTGCGCGCGGCGGAGACAGACGGAGGTTTTAATGCCATTGTGTCGCGCGAGCTACACTGTGCTCTGTGGAGGCGGCATACATTTCAAACTAAACACGATCAAAAAAAGAGAGAGATTGAAACCCTTTGCCAGTCCTTTGTGTGCCAAAACGGCTCTCCAACTTCGAGATGAGAGGTTTAGGGTTCCCACATGAGGACTGGTTTGCACTCGGTCTTTCTTTTGCCAATGCAATCACAAAAAATGGTATGGATTGTTTGAAAATGTTTCCTTTTTACCCCAAAAACTCAGAAGCCTCTCGGACACCGCAGCATTAGGCATAGCTCAGTCAAGGCGCTGCCGTTTGGAGGCGCAGCGATGCTCCTCCTCAACACTGCATGATGAGCGCACATTGAATAGTGTCAACTGGAGCTTTTCCAAAACAAATATACTGCCATAATAGTTGACATTGTTTTTGCGTCACATAGGTGTGTTTTTTTTACATAATGTGTCTTGGGCTGACAGCAAGATAATTTACTACACCTAATTTGATCATATTATTCAAAAGACACATTAAAAGAAGAAAATACTTGGAATTCAATCGAAAGAAGCACGGGAAAGCCTGTGACATTTTCTTCCAAGTGTGCGCATTAGTTAACATGACTAATAATTAATCGCACCAACAACGACCTCAGCCGCCAGTCATTACTTACTCATAATTTACTCTATTAGTGTCGGTTCCAAACCTCTGGGCTTTTCTGTCTAATTAACAAGTCACAATCCCCCGCTGTTAATGTGGAGACATTGGCGGAGAGCAGCTCGGCGCGTCTCTCTGCGGCAGCGAGGACCCAAATGTCTGCCATTGGCTCAGTGTGCAGAAGAGCAGGTGCACGAGAGGGAGAGCGAGAGAGAGAGGGAGAGAGACCTGTGTCGGGACTGAGAGAGTCTCAGCAGCTCGGTCGGGTCTGCCTGTTTTTGCTTTTGGCTCAGCTGATCCAGGATCCCTGTATCCTCTCGTCTCCTTGAACATGGAGCTTAGACGGCAGGTTGCAGATGAGCGCGTCGCACACACATCAGTGGATGGACAGGACAAGACAGGGCAGGTGTGTGTGTGCGCGTCACGAAGGCGGTTTTTGAGCTGCTGATCTTTGGTTAACGATATATTTTTTTGGCAGATCATCTCTCTCAATGTTTTTTCGGATTTCTGTCATTGAATCTTTGGATTCCGCAATAAATCAACTTTCTAATTGAACAAAGTGCCTAGCACGGTTGAAAACAACTGGTAAAAAGCAACTTCACCTGCTGTTGTCGTTCTGATGTATTAATGCACAAAAATGTGAATTGCTCGGATGTGTATTGCGCAAAATCAAATAGCGTTTTAACTCGGATATAAATCATGTATCCCCTGCATGCTTTGATGTAAAACAACATCACAGATTTTGATCAAAATTATAAGAAACATGACAAAAAATTCGGCAGAAGAAATGCTTGTATTAAAAGATAAATTACTCACATTAATTAACCAACAACATTGAACATTTTTGTATATGTAGGAGAGGAATTAAGACATATTTCCCAGCTCTGGATGAGGGCACTCACCTGCTCCTGAGCAGAGGGTCCAGCAGGATGCCAGCAGAGCGGGCAGGATCAGTTGCTGCATGTTGGAGGCAAGGAAACGCAATGACTGTTTTTTCCAATGTGATCGCATTCTTGCAGGGGGTCTTATACTTATCTATCACCATACCCCGACAGGAAAAGAAAGAGTGGCCCCTCCCCCTTCGGGCATCGCCTCTAATAAAGCTCTCCGCTGATAAGAGGGGGGCCCAATGCTCCCGGTGTGCAGGAGCCACATCTAATAATGCAATCATTGCTGTCATGGTGTTGATGGAAACTCTTCCTGTGAGAGGGCGGTGTTGGGGTCTGATGGTGTTAATCATTAATGCAGCCTGAGGCTCCACAGGTAAGGCAAGGTGGCCCTCAGAGAGAGAGAGAGTGATATCCTTATAGGAGGACTGAGCGCCCTCCTCCTGTTCCTTCACATTAAAGGTTAGAGTCATTCTGTTTCACACTGGCACTATGCTTTATGAGTTAAGCATATTTTACCAGCTTGTTTCTTCTATTTTTTTAATGTTTAAAGTAGCACTTGACACCTTTGACAGCAATTATAAGTCTTTCATTGAACATTTGTTGTGGTTTTATTTTAATTGTAAAGCATTATTTTCAAAGCCACCTCCATTCTTCTTTTTTAAACAAACATAATGTCAAAGACAAGGGAAGTACACTCTCGAAAAAAAATAAAATGTAAAATAATAGCATTCATTATTTTCGCAAAAAAAAGTATGTACATTATCAGAAACAAAAGTACTTTTTACAGAATGGTCCCTGTTCGGAAAATACTGAATGTACTCTTCCAATGTCAGAGTAGCACATGATAACAAAGGCCCTAGCTGTGTACGTAACAGGATGTATGATTATCTAGAAGAGCAATGAGCTGACAACCATTAACATGATGATTCAGCCTCTATGGAGGTAGACATATGAACAGCAGGCACGTGCACACAGACAAAGTGGGCTTGAGCCCCTGCCATTTTCTTCCTCCAGAGAAAGTGCCCTTTTTTCCCCTTTTTATTTTTTTAATAAATGAATATATATCTAGCAAACTGCTGTTTGCGCACAGTTTCCCTTTCCAAAAATATATTGATTGAATACAAAATAAAAATATCAGGTCGGGAGATTAGACTGAAGTTCCGATGCTCTCTCTACCCTCCCTCCCTCCCTCCGCGTCTCGCGCACAGCGGTGCGGACATCGGCAGTCACTTCAGACAGACAGGTAGCAGCACCTCCCACTTTACTGTCCCATGTTATGCCAGCTTTTCTTGGCTTGTTTGAAGCTGAGTGGTGATGAACAAATGACTAAACTGCCAGTGCCTCGAGTTTACAGCTAATTAGCCAAAAGACAAAAACAAATATAGGCTATTAACAGAGTTGGGTTACAAAGTAACGCGTTACTTTGTAACGCGTTACTGTAATAATATTACTTTTGTCGGTAACAGAGTAGTGTAACGCGTTACTTTTATAATTCAGTAATCACACTACAGTTACTAACATTGCCCCGACACGCGTTACTTCGTTACTTTTATAAAATCAGTCATAATCACACTGACAGACAAGAGGGGTTTCCACCGCAGGTTTATATGTACGTAATCTGCGCGACTTGCACGTCCACATCTCCGCGTGCAGTGCTGCATAAACATGGCTGAGTCAGCGATAACTTTCGAGGGGTGGAGGTATGCCCATTATTTTGAGTTCGTCCGAAGAATAGACAGGAATGTGACGGTGAGGTGCAAACTGTGTCCAGGCCAGAAGCTGTTATCCACTGCTGTAAACACCACGTCAAACCTCAACAAACACCTGCAAAGAACACATGCTAAGGTGAAGCTAATAGCTAAGGACCCCCGAACCCAGAGTGAGGATGTTGTGAGTGCGCCGCCGCAAGAATTTGGAGGACCGGTAACCAAAGCAGAGATGAACAGGCTTGTAGCATCCTTCATAGTAGAGGTAATGTTGCCCATTTGCACAGTGGAATCACCATCGCATCGTTCAGAGATATACTGCGCAAAATACAGATAGCAGGAGACAGAGGACAGCCATGGTCAGAGCTATCTGAATCAGTCTTATGCTGAACTAAAGAGAACATTTGAAACTTTAGCAGTCTGCGTGATCTGCCTGCAGGGAGGGGCTGGCCGGCCCTGCGAGTAAAGTAACGAGTAAAGTAACGAGTAAAGTAACGAGTTACTTTATGTAGAGAGTAACGAAGTAGTGTAATATATTACTTTTTTTTAAAGTAATATGTAATATGTAATATATTACTTTTTTTTAGTAACGACCCCATCTCTGGCTATTAACTAAGGTAGGCTACTAGCTAATGGATAAGTTAGCTCAAGGTTTAGCTAAGGCAATTTATCATGGGCATACAGGCTAATGTACTGTACTTAAGGGGAGACACTAAATGTGAATACAGTAGAATGTGTATCTAATAACGTCATCACAATCGCCACATTGATATGCAAATTAGGCGTTAACTACACTAGTAATAAACTACTATCTTATCTCTTATCTGAATTAAAATGCGCTAATTTGCATGCAGTTACCAAGGCATTGCAAATCAAATCAAATCAAGTTTTATTTATATAGCACATTTTTAAAACGATTTTTGGTTGAGCCAATTTGCTGTACATACAATAAAAACACTTTACAACAAATACAACAGCAAAAATAAAAAATCACACATGTCAGGAGTCATGTGGAGTGCTTATCAAATTTAAAAGCGCTATTGAAGGTCACTCCAATGTTCATGACAGAGGGGAGGATGTTTTTATTGAGGGAGCCCAGAATTTCAACCGGAGAGGCTGGAGGTTGGGGTCCAAAAAAGATGACCTCGGTCTTGCTCTCGTTGAGGTTGAGGAAGTTTTGGCTCAGCCAGGATTTGATCTCTGTTAAGCAGTCCATCAGCTGCTGTAGTGAGTTGACATTTGAATTGAGAGGCAGATAGATCTTGCAGGTTAAAAGGATAAAACAAAAAACAAACAAAAAAACATATCACCTCACAACTTCCCTTACTTACGTCAAGTCAGTATTTTCCCCTGAAATGTTATGTTTAAATGCAGATAAGCTTTAAATCTATAGATGAATTCAGACATGGTAAAACGAACACCATTTATATGTGTTTCTTGGAAGTTTTCTTTCCATTAGAGTGAAAGAAAACATGGAAGCAAAACAGACCAAAATAACAAAATGTACAAGTAGCTACATGAAAAAACGATCTTTTTGCCTGTAATGTTCTTAAACAGTAACTTCATAATTTTGATTGTTGGCTGCTCATTTAATAACTATTAATTGTACTAGTTTGTTGTCTGCTCTTGTGCGTAGTGAATACTAAAGAAGACCATTGTCTCTGTGTTAACTGATTATTTTGTAGAATTCTGCTGAGTATTAAACAATTGCGTGAGTGTGAGGGTATTACAATAAATTAGTCAGAGTCAAAGTCAGGGTCAGAGATGTGCAACTATATTTAACCTTTTGTTTTAAAACATTTTTTTATAAATGATTATGGGAAGTGCCCTTTTTCCCACTTGAGCTCCCGCCCCCAAAGATGTCTGTGCACGTCCCTGATGAACAGCAAGATCATTTCTTACGTGAGCCTTAGCTAATCTTAACAAAACAATGTTTTGCCTTGAACCGGTATTCCTGCATCCTGTGACTGTGCAACTCCCTCTAATGTAATGCATGTGCAAGGACACTGTTCGGGAACTATTTGTACCAAATGCTCTGTATGTGATTATGCTTCCATTCTTGCAAGGATAATAAAGAAATGTTTCCTGATATGCGGTGACGAATGATATTTATCTAAGACATTTTTCTAACAGTCCCTTTCAGTGTTGTATTATACTCTTATTGGATTAATATAATTATATATGTTCATGATTACTGTGCGATTTAGGCAGTTACTAGTTTTAGCAGGAGTGTAGTGTTTTTGCATATTGGAAACCTTTTAAATGAAGTTTAAAAGGAAATGTATTGTGTTATTATATTAAATGCATCTTGGGCATAGTGCTTTCAACCCCTGTATTTGACAAAACTTGTAAGAAAACGTTGGATGTACAATAAAATAAAAAATAAAGTTTGTGGTTTGAAACATTCCCAAATAGTAATAAATAGACTGAAGAGAGAAAGATTGTAAACAAATCTCTCACACACACACACACACACACACACACACACACACACATACACACACACCAGATGATATCAGGTGGAATCTTAAAAAGCTTGACCTTGTCCATGAAAACTTGCCCGGTCAGTGCAACGCTTTGCACAACTTTTTTTTAAATCTCAGCATCTCTTTTCAACTTTTTCTGATTGGCTGAGAAAAAAGTTTAAAGCTGTCACCTTTTTTTTATTCACTGGATGGAAACTTAGAGTACCCCAAGCTTACATTATTGATCATGCTGAGTGAGTACAGTGAGGGACATTGAAGTTCCTCCTAAAAATGAATCAGCTAGTGTGCTTTGCTGTGTGTGCATGTGTGCGTGTGTGTGTGCTCGTGCGTGCGTGTGTGTAAAACTTTCCCAGTGATCCTCTCTCACTTGCTTGTTTTCAGGAGAGTACATGACATTACTCTGATTCATAGGAACCTAACTGCCTTTGTCAGAGAAAAGGGAGAAATTAAGAAATGATTAACAGTCAAATGATGTTTGAATGTGTTCCTTAGCTGAGCTGCGGTGCTGCTCTCCTTGCAGAACAAGGACAGCCTTCCATGACCCATGATAATGCAGCTCCATCTGGTGGTAAAATGGAGGATGCGCAATGCTGGGGTTTTCATTATTTTGTTTCCCAGTGCTGGTAAAAGTGTTCAGATCCCTGGTGACCAAAACATTTAACTTCACTTTTGTATTGTGCACAGACATAAGAAGAACATTGTTATTTTACATTCTAGCTGAAGTTTCTCTGTGCTCCACTTAAATCTGAGTTTACACATACCTGTAGGAGCAGGATTTCATTATATCAAAATATGGTTGGAAGCCTATGATGGTTCAATTTGACCATCATCGATGGTCGAAGGTTTAGCTTTTATGAACTGCTTTGTATACTGATCATTCTAAATGTTACTGGAAGCGTTGTGTTGACCGCTCAACAGACCATTTGCCCTCTTTGGTATTTGAGGTTGTTTTTGTTTTATATTTCTAATTTATTTTGTCTTTGGTTTTTAGAAAATGACTGTACAACTAATCTTACATTTTTCGAATTTCTTATGAATTTAAAGTTTGACTTTTCTTTGAAATAACAAAATATTATATATTATTTGTGGTTACTATAGTATGAGTTTTTTCAACATTTGTTGGTGATATTGTCGTTTTTTCGGATATTTTCGACATACTATACTGTGTTTTTTTTGCATATTTTCGACATACTACACTATTGTTTTTTTCGGATATTTTCGACATACTATGTGCTATGTCGTTTTTTAAAAATATTTTCGACATACAGTACCAGTCAAAAGTCTGGACACACCTCATTCAATGGTTTTTGTTTATTTAGATTTTTTTCTACTTTGTAGATTAATACTGAAGAAATCAAAACTATGAAAGTACACATGGAATTATGTAGTAAACAAAAAAGTGTTAAAAAATCCACAATATGATTTTTATTTTATATTCTTCAAAGTAGCCCCCTTTTGCCTTGATGACAGCTTTGCACACTCTTGGCTTCTCTGTCAGCTTCATGAGGTCGTCACCTGGAATGGTTTACAATTAACACGTGTGCCTTGTCAAGAGTCCATTTGTGGAATTACTTGCCTTCTTAATGTGTTTGAGTCCATCAGTTGTGTTGTGCAGAGGTAGGGTTAGTGCACAGTGGAAAGCCCTATTTGACTGCTGTTGTAATCCATATTATGGCAAGAACCACTCAACTCAGTAAAGAGAAACGACCGTCCATCATCACTTAAAGAAATGAAGGCCAGTCGATCCGGAAAATGTCAAAAACTTTGAATGTATCCTCAAGTGCAGTCGCAAAAACCTTCGAACGCTTTGATAAAACTGGCTCCCCCCCCCGGGAAAGGAAGAGCAAGAGACACCTCTGCTGCAGAGGATAAATACATCAGCCTCAGATTAGAGCCCACATAAATGATCACAGAGCTCAAGTAGCAGACAATCTCAACATCCACTGTTCAGAGGGGGAGCTGTTGAACTCCCCTAACTGAGGTCAGCAAACATATTCTTCCATAACTGTTACTAAATAAAAAAATAAATGTTGTAGTTATATTTTATTTTGATCTGTTAAACCCTTTGTAAGTGGGTATTGAGAAGTGCAATACTAACGGTGTCATTTTCCTTCTGATTTTGTAATTATTTATTTTACACCTGACTTGCTGGCAATAACACTTTGGTCTTATAACTTTGGACCAAAGAAGAGTTTAAACCCACTCCCCTATAGAACATCTTGACCCATTTCCAGAGCTTCATGCAAATCATCAAGCTGAGAGACACATGCATGATATAATCTTTTATTTTAACCCATGGGATTTATCTTTTACAGTGCATTTCTTTACAACAATTATTCATTAAGTGACAGGTTTGAGCCACCACTACGGATCAGATAACTATGTATGTTACATTTCTGAATTCCTCTTAGACATTTCGACTTCATGAACACCGTGTGGAAAAAACCTCAAATATTAGACAATGGATAACCTCACAGGTTAAGTAGTTCAGTGACATCCCATCATCTATTGAAACGTTAGCCTCTTATCAAAGCGCACCATCTGTTAATATTTAGCTTTCTCAGTGTTATCAAGTAGGTAACTATCTGTACCAATAAAACATACAGAAATGTGGCCAATTAGAAACCTGCTGCCATCCATAGGAAAGAAAAAGGCTTTAAACAAAACAAAATATGGCACTATTGTCTCAACAAACAGTAGACACAAACACAGTATTTAAAGGGGACTGTGGCCAAACTCCCCTGTAAAGAACAAGAAACTCCTAGCACTTTGTTCAGTCTTTACTGCCAGTTAACACTCGGAGGAGTCATCAGTCAGGTGGACGTCAAGCTTCATGTGGACATTACTAATTCATTCACAAACACCTCAGCAGGAAAACCTTCCCTCTGTCACATTGCAGTACCTTCAAATGCCATTTCACCACATCAGAAGAAGACGTTACAGAAATCTGCTGTCTCCAATCGTTATTGTGTTCTCTTCCTCTTAGCACATCAAGCACACGTCCCATTAAACAAACAAAACACGCATCACTGCATCGCTCGGTCCACGCACATCCCTCAGAATGTCACAACATGGCTATACTGGAGAAAAGCATCGATAAAGACAGAACCACATTGACTGTGCATATACATCATCTTGAGAACACATTGCAGCAATGAAACACAAATACGACCCACCAATGCACAAAAACTCGATCCAGTTATCCGTTACATATTACATTCAAGCTCCAAGAAAAAAAGATGCAATGACAAAGTAAACAGCAGATTTCTCCCTTTTGCTCAAGTTTGGTCTCAAATTCCCTCCAACACACGACAGCTAGTAGTGCACAAAAATAAGAATACAAAATTAGACTTTTAAATACTGTAGCAGCAATTATTTTCTTTTAAAGTTGAAAGCCTCCAGTAGTACAGGTAAAGGCTTCGGAGTCCCCCGACACGTAGGAAGGGCGAGCGATTGTCCTCTGAAGTGCGAGACAGTGTCTGTAAGGAGGGTGCAGGTGTTTGGTACTAAAGGGGGGTGGACAGGTGAGAGGAGAGCCTCGTACGGGGCTCCAGGAGGGGGCGGAGCCGTGTGGAGGCCGCTGGACGCAGCAGGGCTCAGGCCTGAAAATGTCTCTGATCAGAAGGGTTTCCCCCATGCTGACACGCCTCCATCTCACACTTCCCCTTTCCTTTCTTCCGCCTCTCAGGACAGTCTCATAGTGCATCTCTTCTCCCAAACCTATCAAAGAGTAACAATTCCTCCTCAACATCCTCCCCCCAGCAGCCAGAACCACGGCAGGTTGCGGTTACAACGGGGCGCTCAGCTCATCAGTCCAAAAGGAGCAGGACAGTGCCGAGGCGGGCCAGGCTAAACGACGCTTCTCTCAGCTGGAGGCTGTGGCGATGGCCTTCTTCAGCTGCTGGCTGCGGATCTCGCGGGTGCGGCACACCAGGAGCAGGTCGTAGCAGATGTTGCACACCAACACCGGGTCATACAGCTGCTGGTCGGGGATGGGCAGCTTCAGGTTGCAGCAGTCTTTACAGAACACATTGCCGCAGTTCCTGAAGAGGGAGAGCACACAGGAAGTTAGATCATTAAAGTTCTGTGCGCTGTATTATAACCAGCAGCAAAAATGTAAGACTTTAGAAACAAGAATATAACTGTTTACTGTTTTACAACTGTGCAGATACAAAAAAGATTAAAGCAGGTTAAATTATTTTAGAATGTTCCATGCACTTCAACAACACGGTACATATAGCACTTTAAGTAATAAAGAAAAAAAAACCTGAAAGAAAACAAGCTCTAATTCCAATTGAAAACATAGGTATGTGGTGCATCTCAGCCTCTTGTGGCCGAAATGAGTATTACAACAACTTTATTTCATCTTTCATAAACACAGGAGATTTATTTAATTATTTTTTTTAAAATCATGCTACGAAAAGTCGCAGCAGATAATCAGTTAACTACATCTACTGTAGTATGCATTTTGTCCTTCCCCTGTATTTTCAGGGTATTTTTCAGTTTTTCAGCAGAGCAAATAAATAATGATCTTGCGTGTGCCTTGCTAGTTTGGCAGAATTGTGCTGCAACAAAGGCTCACCAGGAGAAACGTGTGTCTAGTAAGCGCTCAAATGTTCATGTGTGATGCTTTTAGTGAATACACTAATCAGGATGTATTAACTAGGAAAACACATTGGTTGAGACAACAAGCACAATGGCTAGAAGGAATGAGAAGGACACAAATATATTTACTTGTTTTGGTCCCAGATTCTTAAATGTTTCTTGATTATCTCTATTTTAAATCATTGTTAAATTAAAAAGTTATTGACATTTTAGAAACTGGTAATCTCTAAAGACGTTGTAGATATGATCTATTAACAGATTATTGTTAGAATATATTTTTAATCGATTCAGAGTGAAAACTATTTTGCAAATTGCATTATTATTTTTAGAAACAATGCTCCAAGTTAAATATTAGTTTTCTTTCTCTTCTACCTTTGATTTGTGACGACATGTGATATTTCAGGATTCTTTGTGTGTATTAATGTCAGAAAACCTCGGTGAAGCCCCACCTGCAGTGGTGACGTCTCTTGGCTATCCAAAACTCGCAGTCACAGTTGAAACAATGGGAGGCCATGTGGTCGGGCACCCACCTCGTGACCTACACACACACACAAAAACATTTGTATCAGAACAGTGTGCAGTAATGGGTCATGCGAGTGGTTAAACATTACAAATGGTGTTCCACAAGGTTCTGTTTTAGGATTAGACTAGGTTTCTTTTTCAGAAACAAGTCCTGTTTCTCACTTGAGGCCAGGAAAAGTCTCTGACCTTTTTACCTGTGCTGGACTATGGTGATCTGATCTATATGAATGCACCTGCCCATTACCTGAACAAGTTAGATGCCGCCTATCACAGTGCTCTGAGATTTGTTACTAACTGTAAAGCACTTACTCATCACTGTACCCTGTATGCCAGGGCAGGTCTGCCTTCACTAACTGTACGGAGGCTCAGTCATTGGTACATGTTCATCTACAAAGCCATGTTGGGTAACTACCAACTTATATCTGCTCTCTGATCTCACAGAGAGTGGCAAGTAGCTATTGCTTGAGATCTTAGGATGTGGTTTTGTTACATGTGCCAAGTGCTAGGACTGACTTAGGTACGAAAGCTTTTAGATGCGCAGCTCCTCTAACTTGGAACAGTCTGCAAAAATAATGGAAACTGAGCATTTTGGTTCCACTAAATGTTTTTAAAGCTCGGATAGATGCTATGCAATCTGATACTGTTGGTACCTGTAAATGTTGATAGGTTTGTAAATTGTAACCCTGTCATGTTATATGATGTCCTTTTTGTTTTTCTGTTGTTTTTCTGTTTCATGTGGAACCTACTTGCTGCAGGTCTCCCTTGAAAAAGAGATCAATGATCTCAATGGGATTCACCTGCTTAAATAAAGGTTTGAAATGAAAAAAAGTAATAAGAGGTGGTCCTAGCCTTACAGGTGAGGGTAAGGAAGAAGAGAAAGTTATGTTAGACGATGAGGCACAAGAAGGATGCTGACCTCTGTGTCCTTGCTGTCCACTCGGTCCCAGCTGCCCTCAGACAGGCGGTCCTCGCTGTGTGTTGACAACGAGTCCTCCTCGTTGCTGTTGTCGGACTCCCGCAGACACGTCTGCAAACAGAGAGGGAATCAGAAAACAGACAGGAGTGAGAGAAGACACTTCCAGAGGATTATCAAAAGTAAACATTTACAAATGCTGCAGACAGAAGGCAGCTTATAGCACTGGGTTGGGTGTTATCGTCAGCTTTGAAAACTCACAATGTCATCTTCGTAGTCGACGTCTGGCTCCGAGGGGGGGGTGCTGTACTGTTTGCTCTCCAGCCTCATCTGCAGCTGCCTCACCTGCAGCCTCAGCACCTCCACCTCCTGCTTGTATCCCGCCTCTATCTGCCGCAGCCTCTGCTGCACGGCGTCCAGGGGCACCGGCAGCCCGTCGTCGTCCAGGTAGGCCGGCGCCTGGGGCGGGGGGGGGGGAGCTGGAAGCAGAGGGCGAGGAGTACGCCACTGGCAGAAGCTGATGGCCTGCCAGGGAGTAGCTGTTGAGGGCTGCGGCAGCGGGGGCATAGAGGCCGCTGTAGCCCACACTCCTGGCAGCAGACAGCCACCCGGTCGGCAGGGGGGGGCTGGGGTGACACAGAGCCTCCCTGCGGCAGCACGGGGACCCGTTGGCCATGGCGAAGCCCTGGGAGCGCAGCAGTTTGCTGGCCAGCCGGCGGCTCTGGTAAGCGTTATGCTGCAGGGCCCGGCCCACCCCGGAGTGAGAGGCGCTGCTGCAGGCCGACTGCACCAGGCCCTGCACGCTCTCCCAGTGGGAGCCCAGCAGCGACAGGTCTGAGAGCTGGCTCTGGGAGATCAGGTGACGAGCGGCTGCCTGGGCGCAGTCCACAGGACTCACTGCAACGGTTAGCTCGCGCTCTGCTCCTCTAACCACAACCGTCCTCACTTCTTCTTGCTCCTTCTGGGGCTTCTCCTCAGGCTGCTCCTCATTCAGCACCTTGTGGTTAAAAGTATCCTGGAGGAGACCCTTGCTCTCCGTGGGGGGCAGGGTGGGGGGAAGCTCTCCCTCGTCTGTGAGAGTCTCTGTGGAGTCCTCCATGGGGAGTGATGTTAGCTGCTGTAGATGCAGCAGGTCTGCAGATTCTGGGAGGCCGTCTCCATGCCCCTCAGCGTGGTCGTCAGGCAGCGAGGAGGGTACGGCGGCGTGAGGCTCCGTGCCGTTGCAGGGGAGAGGTAAGCACGGTTTAGATTTATGAGAGGGTGAAGGGGGGCTCTCAACAGTCCTACAGGGGCTTTCGGGCTCCATCGGGGGAGGCGGGGGTAGTGGGTTAGTGATCTGAGGCAAAGCCTGTTGAAGGACAGGTGAGGGGAAGGGAGTGTCTGCGATCACGACTTCTTTACTGATAGGGACCGGGGGGAGAGGCGGAGAGGGGAGGGGCTGCGTGGTGAGACATGGCTCCTCGGTAGCGTCCTCACAGCTTTCTGAAGCTGGGACCCCCTCAGAGGTCTTAGCAGGACTCTGGAGTGGAGGTTGCCCCTCACTGCTGTCCAGTATAGTGTCAGCTGAGGCCTCATCAGAGATCTCTGCAGAGGTTTCCTCTGAGGCCGGGGGGGGCTCGGGGGCAGAGCGACCCTCCTGGCAGTGCTTATTGAGATTTGGGTCGCTGGAAGTGCGAGTCAGGGGCACCCCGTTCTCAAAAGCTGAAAGCAAGTTGTCCATGGAGCGGGTCTTAGGAAGTCTGGAAATCAGAAAGACACATAGGGTTTAGTTTTCCTCACAGCTGAAGAAATGGCAATGGTAAAATCATCTTTTTGAGACCCTAGAGGGCAGTGTGGCTCTCTGTAGCTCGAGGGAAATTAGAATTCATGAGAATCTCTGTGAGAACACTTAGTGCTGACAGCTCAGATATGCATCAAACAAACACACCTGTCCAGAGAGCGGGAGGTGAGTTCGTCTCCGGTGACACTCGGGGGGAGGTAGAGCTCCATGGAGTCGTCCACAGCGGTGCAGGGGGAGGAGGTGGGCAGGTAGACGGCGGTCCACAGCTGCAACGCTCGTGTGTGGCAGACTGGCTGCAGCACCTGCCAGACAAGGACATGGCAGAAGGTCACCGCAAAGTAATTATGAGCCTGTTACTCTGCCAGTGATGTCCTAAAACTGCTGTGAGTGATACATTATGAAAATGTCTAAACGATTCAAAGAGATCACTCAAACGGTATCAAGATGGCATAGGAGTCATACTTTAAATACTTTTTGAAAAACAACATTTTAGGATCAAAGTAAACATTTATAGATACTATGCATTAGTCATTAATCACACACTACAGGTCCTGCACCGGGTTGGTACCTACAAAAAGGTTTGGTAACATGTAAAACATATATTTTTCATCACGGTTAAGAAAAGGTAGAAATAAATCATATGTGGGTGGGGACCAGTTCGAACAAATATGTTTTTTATGGAGAAACCAAAAATGATTTTGCAGTATTTTAACTTTTAAATAAACTAATAGTATAAAGTCTGATTAGCCACCAAATGTTTTATTTGACTGTGAAAGCCTGTCGCTGACAGCCAGTGATGGAGACATTTCTTCAGGTGGATTTGTGATTCAAGGATGAAGAACCCAGTTTAAACCAGAGAGAAAATAAAGCCCTTTAAAGTGAGTGGCGGCTTAGAAGCTAGTGTGTTTAATCCGTGTCTTGTATTAAAAGGGGCAGGTCGCATTCAGCTTTGACTGGGAATTTGTTGGAAACGGGTCGATTCTGCCGTGAGGCTCATCTGGTGCAGGTTTGCAAAACTGGATAGAAAGTGGTAGGTACCATATCATGACTTGGGATGTAGAGGAAGTTCTGGAAGTTCTTGTTTCCATTGCGAAGCAGGGACCAGACGGAGCAGGTGCGTTTGTAGATATTCCTCGCCTCCCTCTCACGAGCGTTGTTGCACAGGAAGGTTCCGTACAGACACGAGTATGTATGCTGCACCAGCTTGACCTGAACACATGTGGAAGATAAGTCAGACCTTTAGCAGCAATTTACATTATTAGTGGTTGTTAGCAATCTGCCAACTAAATGTAACAATGTTTTTTTGGTTATTTAACAAAAGTCTTTAGTCCTTATTAGAAAGATGGAGTGGAGAAAAGAAGGCTGTAGGACCACCCACCAGGAAGGCCTCGTTGAACTCAAACAGGCAGGGGAACTGTTTGAGCAGCTGGTGGACGGAGTCCAGCCACTGCAGGAAGACGGGACACTGCTCGCTCACGTCATCTGCGTTCTCCTGGTGGCCGCAGCGGTCCCCGAACTTATGACCGTAGTCCAGCCACTCAGTCTCTACAAGCACCTGGAAACCCTGGGGACGACACGCCAGTCAGTAAAGTGATAAGATTACAGAGCAACACAAAACTATATTACATTACATTACACGTCACTTGTTAGACGCTTTTATCCAAAGCGACTTACATACTCAATACTGTGGGCAATCCCCACAGGAGCAATTTGAGGTGAAGTGTCTTGCCCAGGGACACAACGACATGCTGACTGCAGTGGGGTTTGAACCTGTGACCACCTGATCCGAACACCAACGCTCAAACCACTACGCCACACACCTATACTCCTCTGATATAGCATTGCTCTCCTTTACAACACTGTGACTCACAATGGACAGTAGAACAATGCAGCACAATCAGAGATATTTCTTTAAAAGGTTTCTCAACAGATTCTTCTTCCTTGTCAAAACCTGTAACCTATGTTACCCACAATGCAACTTGGCCACAGACATTTCAGTCAGTCAGAGGTTACAATAAGGTACAACAGAAGTGTTATACCTTACCTTAATTGTTATAGCATGAAGTCGATAATCTTTATCATTGTGATATGTTTTCTAATCAGGATGATTTTCTGAAACACTTGTGATTTATTTGTAATAGTTATATAAATATATTATATACAGTATATAACCAAATATACTGTATATTTGACACTGTTTATGTTTTATGCCCACCTAAATAATCTTTTTTGTACTGATATAATTGTGCTGTGACATCACATATTAAGGAGACAATGAAAAAATGCAGATCCCACAAAAATCAGTTTCACAATAATACTACATTTCTAATACTAATATTTGAAATCCTACAGTATACAACATTCTGTGGCCACACCCTGCAGACTCTCACCTCTATTGTCCTGTAGTAGGGGTCCAGAAGGATCTTGGAGAGGGCTACAATCTGGGGTGTGCGGTCCCACCCGTCCGAACAGTGCACCAGGACAGGACGTCCATCCCTCTCCACAGCCGAACACACCAGAGTGGCTGCCTTCAGCATGATGGACAGGTGCTGCAGCCAACGTGTGCTCTCAAGAGCCGAAAGCCAGCTAGAAACACAAAGAAGAGTGATTAGATAAGAACCAATCTATTCCCTTTCACAGTGAAGTGATCTGGAGCAGAGATGCTGTATACGTGAATCAGTGTTGGTTACTCAGGGTCAAGTTAGAGGTTATTATGCTAATGAGAAAGGAGGCTTCTGACCTAAATCAATGGAGGCCTTTCTGCGTCATTACACACCTTTATCAGAATAACAACAAGGCTTAAAATAGCATTGTGTGACGTCAAGGCACGTAAGTGAACATACAGCCACAAAATAAACACAATAGTAAAACGCACACAGCGGAGAAAGACACACAGATGTAAACGCAGGAACAAACAGAAACACACATATCCACTGTCAGTGTGTACAGACGGACAGCTGGCCGGCACAGCAGGAAGGGGACTGGACCGTGGAAGCTTTGCCATCTCGCTGTTGTGTTGCCTTACTGTGAGGTGAAGCCATTAAAAGTGAGGAGGAGGAGGGGGGGTGCTCAGAGAGAAGGTCAAACAGATAGACTCACTTTCCTGGATCGGGGATCTGACTGCAGACGGTCCTCAGAGCCTGGAAGCTGTTCCGGATGGCGTGGATGTTTGCCATTCCCATGAACATCACCTCGCAGTTGGGGTAGTACTCTGATTACAAACAAACATAAACAACTCTGATGAAGGTCACAAGACGTAAACAACAGTAGCATGGCGAGTTCAGATGATGGTTATCTTATCGTGTAGGTCAAATGAAACATTCATGGTGTTTGTTTTTGAGTCAGCCACTGCTGGCAGAATATCCTGCTATCTATGGCTGTACACAATGTATTTGTTTTTACATTCAAAGTTTCATTGAGTTAATTAGTTTATGTTGTTATATAGATAGTATTTATCGTGCTATTAGATCGCTGCTAGACCGCACCATTAATACAGGCTTCCCTCTGTGAGCAAATTGTTCTTTCACAGCAGTGAACATTTTGTTTTTGAAAAGCTCAATTACTGGTGTAACATTAATATAAGAAAACTGTGCATTTCAGTGTTGATTTAAAATTCAAATGTCAAGGTTATGAATACAACCTTTGTAGCTTGTACTGTTTGGTAAAGCCCTGTGAATGTCATATTCTAAATTCACTCTAACTCTCTAGAAGTGTCATGAACACATGTTGACACACACACACACACTGTCTTTTAACTCTGATCTCATACCTTAAAAACTGTAACATTCATTAAATAGTGTCAGACTTTTCAAATGTTTGGTTGCACCAACCTTCACACTCACAGCCTCCGCCCTTGGCTCTGTTGGCCACTGCGGCGGTGTATGAGCGAGCGTCCAGAATCAGCAGCTTCTGTGGCACAGTGTTGTCACTGCAGCCAGAGCCGCCCGTCAGAGAGGAGTCTGGAGGACAGAGAGGATTTTAACGTTAGGAGTGGACGGCGTGATGCGAATCAAACTGCCGGGGGGATGACGAGGGAGAGAAAGCGTGAAGTGCCAGGGACATGATTAACAGAAACTGAATCTATCTGCAACCCACTGAAAATCCATAGCTCCTCCTGCTGACACAACCACAGTGTTGCTATAGGTAACGATCACAAATCAGGAGACCTGCTTTTAAAAGCTACCAGGGAGAAAGAGTAATTACTCTGAGGCTGCAACTACACTACTCTGCACTGCACTCAGTTAGCGTGGCGCTACCACTCCTTTTCCAGCCTGTCATCGTGCCCAGAGTGAGGCAGTTAAATATCTTTTCAGACATCCACGTCACTCTCTGCGTTTACACAAAAACATAAAAACAGAGTATAAACAAGATGCAAATTGTTGTTTTTCTGTATATGTTGCGGTGACAACTGTCCCACTTTGTATCCTACTAACATTTCTGTAGCAAAGGCTGATTATAATAAGATAACATTAATGATATGCACTTTCATTTAAAATGGGAGCTTGTCAGGAAAAACAGCATGACAACATATTTTATTGCTACTTAATTCAATATAAATTGTTTTCTCTGTCAGAAAGCCTATATCATGTGTTCAGTCATGTGTATATCTGTGTGTGTCCACAGCTACTCTGGCATACTACTGGACCAACCTAATGTTTATCTTGTTCATCTATGACTGAATGCTAGTATATCTAGTGATTGCGTTGATTCACAATGTTTGAAAAACCCATTTTATTCAATGTTTTATATAGTCATTGGCTGCTCGGTAGCAATACGGCCTTTTCAGTCAATGACAATATATTATATTATTTTACAAACTGTTGGTAGTAGTAGTCTACTTTAAATTGAGGAAAATTAATGAGACATCTAAACAATGGAATTTATTTTCTTCCTTCCAAGTCATAAGGACATGTTCACATAATCAGCCAGCGTAATATTGCATTCTTGAGAGCTATAGTGCGCTAAGAGTGAATCTGAACATATAAATCAAACCACTGCTTTACCAAAATCACTATCGGAGGAGTCTGGAGCGTCCCCGCGATGTCTGCAGGCCTTTGCTCCGGTGTCCAAATGACACGCCTTGGCGATGGATGTCACCAGGTACTCATCATCCGTGTTCCTCCAGCCCCACCAGCTGATCTCAGGCTGGCTGCAACGGGAGATCACTGCCCCGTTTTTCTGGTGCCTGCAATTCAAGGTAATACTCACTAAATTGCAGACTGAAGAAGCAAAACGGGACAATGCTGTTAAAGATATTGGTGAAATTGTTTGATTTGTGGCTTTGTGTCAGTAACCCCACCTGTAGACCACCACAGGGATCCTCTTCCAGGATCTGAAGGAGCCCACACTCTCCAGCTCCTTGTCTGTGATCCATATTGGAACCAGAAGCTTCTGTGGGTAGCTGGAGCACATCCTGTGGACAGGAAGGACACTTTGTTTTCATAGAGGAAGGTTAAATGCCGTTTGTAATGCTGCAAATATTTGACCACAAGTCTTACTTATCAACACTGACAGCATCTCAGTAAAAAAACTAAACAAACTTCTTTGACATTCTGTTCTCCAGGGTCAATATGATCCTTTCCTTAATGTCTATTCACCTGCTGACTGTCTGAGGAATGAAGGGGAGGCAGAGACAGTGTGTGTGTGTGTGTGTGTGTGTGTGTGTGTGTGTGTGTGTGTGTGTGTGTGTGTGCGTGTATAGTATGTGTATGTGTGTGTGTGTGTGTGTGTGTGTGTGGTGTGTGTGTGTGTGTGTGTGTGTGTGTGTGTGTGTGTGTGTGTGTGTGTGTGTGTGTGTGTGTGTGTGAGAGAGAGGGAAAGTGAAACTGCTGAGTCATGGGCCTCAGCAGGCTGCTGCTTGTTTAATTAGCCAGTTGTCCTGTGTGTCTCTCTCTCCCAGCAGGATGTGCTCTGTTGGGTACTACGAGCAGACTGACCTTTTTTTGTAGCGTTTATTTGCCCAGACAGCAAAGGAGAAGGGAGAGTCTCATACATAGATGGGTTTGTGTTTGTATGTTGAAGAATTGAATGGTCAGGGTCAGTTTGAGAGGTCAGAAAAGTCAAAGCCAACAAGTATACAAACTAAATCCCTATTAAGCATTACGACATTTAGTTAGCTATGTCGTTGGCAAACAACAGTAGATGTTAGCTTAAAATGTTGAGAGTGTGTTGCTAATGGTAACGCTACATCTCTCTAGTGTGTTGCTGAGTCAAAGACAGGTCTATGAAAAAGTTATTTTATTGTGATTTGACAATTTAAGTGCAGGAAGAAGATATGTAGCTTTTGAAATTGGGTCCAATATTTATGGGGCAAGTGATTTATCTGTGAGCACGTCTCCCTTTTAAAAAACTCAACCTTAACAGGTTAAAATATATTTTTATTTATTTTTCTTAATGGATTTATAAGCATCTATTTTGCAAAGGACATCTCTGACAATGTTGACCTTAGGAAATGTGAGTCACACAGAATGTAACGTTGACCTGATGACTGTGTATATTGTCTATGTGCTCATTCTACTCTAATTTATATCCAACCTGACTACAATCCTCCCAAAAGTAACTGTAATCCAAGATGAATTTAAAACCCACATTCCTGACTGAGTTCTGTCTCAAAGCTGGAAGATGTGCCGACACACAGGCTGTCTGTCACACAATCTGTTCAGTTTGCCGACATAGTGGGTACAGCATCTCTGTCACAGCTCTACGAAAACGTTGTCAGTCACCATTCACTCTCTAAACATCCATCAGGATATGTTACAGTTACAACAGTCACAGCAGGGGGGGGGGGGGGGGGGGGGATATTTCCGTACAGTATCTGTGACATACTTGAAGTTGCAGTTTATGTCTGACACTCTCCAGACGTTCTGCGTGTCGAAGCCCATCCTCTTGACCTCCATTTCCATTCTGTGACACACGTTATCCCCTGAGCACAGAGACAGCATGGGAGGAGATCATTTTAGGAAAGTCAACATTTTAACACATATAACATATCCAAGAGGCACAATTGTTCTTTACCTTTTTATTTGTTAAGAGCTTTTTTTATTTCAAACTGAACCCAGTTTTCCAGGTTTTTTTATCCAAGTGTGGCCAAAATCTTTGAAACTGGTTTAGTATTGAGTGAGAGCGCTGCAGCTAGGGCTGTGCAATTAATCGTATTTTAAATCGCAATTACGATTTTGGCCTGCCACAATTACGAAAACAACATAATCGAAAAAAACGATTATTTTGCTTTGCTTGGTTGTGACAGTGCACTGCAACATATTTGATCTAATTTATTTTAGTCTCATTTATTTGTATTTATCATGTTTACATATGTTTAGTAGCTTGTTGAAGTGCGCTCCAAAATATTTGTTGATCTTGTTTATTGGTATTTATTATTTTGATATTATTTATTTAAATGTAAATATAAATGTATCATTTATTTTTGTATTGGTTTTTCAGTTGAATTATACGTTCAGGGTAATCAACAGTTAAAAAGATACTGTTCAAATTATTATTTGTATTTGTTTTAAAGTTCAATAAATGGATGTTTTCAAAGTCAATGAATAATCGTATTTAATAATCGTGATATCAATTATTGACCAAAATAATCGTGATTATGATTTTTGCCATAATCGCACAGCCCTAGCTGCAGCCGGCAGACGTTTAACAGGGTGCAATGTAATCCTTATGTACGATTCCACAAGGTCATTGTACATCCATTAAAAAAGCTTATATGGCCACTGACAGGTTCAGATTGATATTATAAGTGTTATAAGAACCCTAAAAAAGTATTCTATTTACATTTCATTTGATCAAGTCTGTTTGTTTTTGTTTCTTACTAAGGCTCATTTAAGGCAAGGTCTTCTTCTAAAATCTTGTGAGAGTTGACTCATTGCCAGAAGAAAGCAGTGGAAACACAAGTGAGAGTAAAGAGAGTGTCAGTGTTGTCAGAATTAGTTGTGTAGGAGTAAATAAATCCTAGCTTCAAAGTTTTTCACTGTCATGACTGAATATCAAGCAGATTTCAACAGAATGGATGCAGTTCTATATTTTAGAACAAGACTTCTCCAGATCAAGCAAAATGTACATTTAATGTCAATAACAAGCACTTTCATGTTGTAGATGAATGATATGGAATTCCCTGAAAGTATTACATTGCAGCTCAATTCCCGTCTCATACACTTGACCAATTTCAAAAGCTGTTGTTCCTGTTACTTAGACAAAGAAACATGTGCAAACAGTGTCCAGGTTGGAATACACCGAAGTTACTTTAGTTCAGTCTCGAATGGGGTGTGTGTGTGTGTGTGTGTGAGAGAGAGAGAGAGAGAGAGAGAGAGAGAGCGATAGAGAGAGAGAGAGAGAGAGAGAGAGAGAGGAAGAGAGAGAGATAGAGAGAGAGAAGAGAGATAGAGAGGCAGAGAGAGAGAGAGCAGAGAGAGAGGATATGAGAGCAGGAGAGCGATGAGATGAGAGTACGCGAGCGAGAGAGAGCGAGAGAGACGCTCCCTAGAGGAGCATAGAGCTTCTCGTCTCCTATCTATCTGCTTCTTCTCTCTCTCGCTCTGCTATACTACCTCTCACGATCTCTCTCCTCTCTCTCTTCTCCTTCGCCTCCATATCGAGAGAGAGAGCAGGAGAGAGTGTGTGTGTGTGTGTGTGTGTGTGTGCTGACCTGGGCGACAGAGATGGACGTGCTGGTCTTCATCATCAGAGTTGCCTCCCAGACACCAGGCGTGATAGGCGAGGGCGAACAGATCCTCCAGGCGGGCGGGGTGAGCTATGGCCCGGTTCAGACGCTTCACCCACTCCTGGCACAGCTTGAACGTTGCAAAGTGGCATCTGTGGAGTGAATATAAGAACGGTGGGTGAGATTCGACAATTAACACTTCGTTAAAACTTCATGCATTTGGGATTGTGTGAAAAATGTGGTAATTTCTTCATATGCTCAGAGGCTTTTCAAGCGTGAAACTAGGAGTAATGATAATGCTGCTTAATGATGACGAACCAAGACGTCAATGGCACAGCTGCTGCTGAGAATCTGAAGCATCCACTGGTTTTGAACTTTACAGATGTCAATCACAAGAGAATTTCAGTCTGCTGTGAAATAAAAACAGGCTAGTTCTGTTTTACTCGAAACTCCTTTTAAAGCAATCTGTGAGCATGATTAGAGCTGATTATACACTTGCCATCTGTTCTTGGTTAATACCACTGTGACTGTCATTAATAAGACGGCTTTAAATGCTACACAGCATACTCTCATCCCTTAAAAGCAGCACAAACAACAATAAATATGACGTCCATCTGCATGAAACAAATAAACAATGGTTTGATTTTGATGTTATACTTAAAAGCAACGTAATTAATACTTTACTTCTGCTTTTAAACCAATGTTTCTGTAATATATTGACATCCTAAAAACACATTTTGCATTCATTATTATTTCAATACTTTCTTTTACAACTACATTGCTCCGTCAAAACGTTTTTACTGATATGAGTATTATTTTAGTCTGATGAAAAGAAAATAGAAAAATGCTGATAACTTCGCAGGGCACAAAGTTAATTGACTATTTAAAACTGGCATGTGTTTGATAACCAAATATTGAAATAAATAATACAAATGAAAGGAGGCTTAACATTTGAGTAGCTGTGTGATTATTTAACAATCAATTCCTTTGATTTACATTCCTGCTGAAAAATTAATTAGCCAACTTATTGTTTCAGATAATTGCGCATTAAAATATACTGGAATCAGACAGGCTGGACTTTAACTCTGTTATCATGCTAACACAATGTGAACCAAAATAAGTCATAACCTCAAAGTATGAAAAAACATGCATCATAAACTATTGAATGCTTGAATTAGTTTTTTCCCAGACTCTAAACCATTGTTATTGACAACTCTGTTATTCTGGTTCCACCTAAGCATCAGACGATGTTCTTTTCACTCTGTTACTTAAATCTACCCAGGCAGGAATTATTTTTGACTGTGAGGTCACAATACATGATCTCTATAATCACTAATGTCACTAAGTAATACAGTAGGCAAGACGCTATATTAACAGAGGCTTCATAAACATCACTTTATTATAACTGTTAACATCTATTTTTACACCAGGGACTGGATTATTGATTGGCTGTTAAGCGCAGTAGTGTACAGAGGTTATACATTCTCTCCACACTGTCAGAGAGAAATGAACTATTGTGCCAGACCACCCTACAGAATGTACTCTTGGTAAACCCTCTGAACCCAAAGCAGTTTCAGGGCTTTCTTTCTCTCCTGCTGCAACTCACTGTGGCCTTGTTTTCACTGTGTAAGCCCTGCAACCCTATGGAAACAGCACAATCTGTTTTACAGTATTTAGTTCATTCAGTTTTATGACCATTAATGCCATATTGGATTAAATACATACACAAGTGTTTCTAATATCATATAAACATAAGCTATACACATTGTACTATTTAAGATTTGCACAACCTGTAATTACAACCGCTCTCTTCCTCTCTGCTTTGTGTAAACAGCCTGCCAGTCAGTCTTCCCTGAATTTTTGTTGTGCATCTTTTAGTCTCGGTCGAATCATTTATAGCTTCAATTTAGCTTTGAAGAATGCAGAATGTTATGTTTTTGACAGGATCTAATTAGTGCATACGGATGATTTCTGACTAACATTTCAAATGGTACATGTAGAATGACTAGTTTACACTAGGATTTGGTTACTTTGCCTCACAAATAAATCATTGAATGATCTTTCATTTTAAAATCCAATGATAATTTCTGTTTATAAACTCTGGGTATATGTTTTTTAAACGGTTTAGGGGTCAGGGAATTGATAAAAGCATCAATATGCTTTCAGGGTTAATATAACGTATTTAGTGTGTGAGTGAGCAGTTTTTTCCTCACCTTACAACTTTGGAGTCTTTGCAGATGATGTGCAGCTGGAACATATCTCTGCTCTCCACGTTGTCTATCAGCCTGAGAGGCACCTGCAGGGGGAGACAGAGTGCACGTGTCATCATCCTGATGGCCCACTGTCACAGCGACACACTTCTGCAAAGAGGTCACCACTCTCTGGTCTAGTACAGACTGAACTTAGATGTGTTATTTATTATTTGCATGTACAGTACAGCACTTTGGCTCAACCAAAAATCGTTTTTAAAATGTGCTATATAAATAAAACCTGATTGGATTTGATTAGATACAAATAGTACAGCGTAAGGCTTCCTCTAAGCAGGCCTCTAAATTGTTTTTATCTCTGTCTCGAGACTTATTTTAAGATACCAAACAACAACTATAAAACGTGTTGTCTGCAAGACTGTCGACCCTGCTTTCTAAGCTTTCCCTGTCGATTGAAATTGTTACAAAATCACCCACGCAACTTCAAATTTGATCAAACATTTATGCAACAGCACTTTCTACACTGTGCAGGAATGAAGAAATACTATTTCATGCCTTTTTAGCAAACAGAAAGTTCCTTCTTTTTCATTAAGTCTCAAGGTCAGCCAACACGCTGCACCACAAATATTTGTTGTCCTTTGAATGTAAATTACAATTTGTTCCCAGCGCACTGTAATTGTTTAAAACCAAGAGGGTGACTTAAGCTGTCTAGACAGTGGCAGAGGGTGGTGTTTTATCATTTTGTACTCACAGATATCTCATTGTCCACACCTGGGAAGGTCTAAAACACAGTGACACCATGGAGCCCACAAACACACACACACACACAGAGGGGGGGGAGGGAGGGAAAGACAGAAGGAAATGGAAAAACTATTAAACCAAAAACATCCAGGAGAAAAAAAGGAAATGAAGTGTTAAAAGGAAAAAGAACATCAAAGAGGTTGAAAGATAAGTGAGTGTGCTACTTGCAGCACGTGACCAAGCTGAATGGAAATCGTGGAGAGAAAGACAAACATGGACAGGAGCAAAGGGCAAGAAAACAGCTTAAAGGTAGGGAGGTGGGTTGTGAGGGGGGGAGAGAGAGACTGTGTGGTGTGTTGGCATTCATACAGAGTTCATCTGTGCTGCTGGGGTCAAGGCAGAACAGAATCTGACTCTCCGTTTAAGTAAGTCAAGGTGAAGAGGCAGTCTGGACGTCATGGTGATCCACCCCCAGCTCTTCCTCATTTTTCTCTAATCCCTGTCACCCTTTTCATAAACTGAATCCTTCTGGAAAAGATGACTTGGTAATATGAAGGAGGAGGAGGAATTTCATTGCCAGTAAATGCAAACAATTGGCCCGTTTGTGTTTGACCAAGGTCTGACGTCAAGCCCGAGTGGGCCAGTGGGCCTCAGTGCCAGTGGGGGCCGGGCCCTTGGAGCCTCAATGTCATATTAAACCTGTCCTGGCTGTAGATTGGTGGGGCCAGCCACTCCTGTGGTACTAACAACTTAATGCCAAATGCACTGGGGTATGACTAAAACCGATTTACGGGCGACCAATGGAAAATACTTGTAGCTTTATTTGCCTGGTTAGCACAATGATGTGTTTATAACATGTATATGGGGGAAGGGGTAGAGCTATGTGCACACACCCCGCACATTATAACCTCCTCTCTACGTCTATTGGCTTCCATAGATATAGACACTGGTGCAGTTTGGACAGAAGTGAAACTGTTGTGGTACTTCTGTATGTTTATAAGTCTGTTGATTTGCACTTACGTTGATAACAGAGTCCTTGAACTTGATGTGGAGTCTGTAGTTAGAAATGGCGATGATGGCTTCGTCTGCACAGCCAAGATATTCCACCCCTTCCCCCTGAAGAACTGCGAATGGCACCTGTAGAAACACAAAACAAACCAGATTGCTGAGGGTTTTGAGAGGCAAAAACATAACACCACCACCTGTTTGTTGTTTTTCTTATGTCTACCGGGAGTATAATCTTAACATTCACGTTTCTATTTTTAAAGCTGTACTCTCAAGTCGAGGAGTCGACAGCCATGCCTGCTGCTTTGAGAGGCTGAACTAAGGCAGAGTGGTGCTTTGAGCTAAATGCTTGGATGTTGATCTTTAGCAGGTTTAATGTTGAACATGTAAACAATCTTAGCTAAGCATGTAAGCATGCTAACATTCACTAATTAGCATTAACCCAAAGTTCAGGCACAACCAAAGTTAGTATTCATTTAGCTAATTTAAGTCTTAAAGTGAGTGTCATGACGTCATGCTAAAAGCCCCACACACATAAATAAACAAGCGCATTCTCCTTATGCGACCAAAATACATTTTAACCAGCAAAAGCCAGAGTTATTTTTTTCTTTCTGGGGCAACATGGTGGACTCTGTTGAGGATGACCGCTTCCTATGTAGTAATGAAAGGGTGATCTTAGCTATTGATTACACACCAAGAAACCTTAGCGAAGAATTGTATTTTCTGATCCTGCAAATGAATCCTATATCCAACACGCAGGTTATTTAAAACTGATGAATTTGAAAGGTTTTTTATTTATTTTTTAACCTGTTAAGCACTGAGCCTGTTTTTCAGGCCTCAGGCTCGAAAATGATATTCCCAGAACAAATTACCATAACTTCACTTCTAAAAAGGGTAAATTAATAATCTTTTTTCTCAAAGTAATGATAAACCTGTGAGTTGGATGTAGAAAAGTCAGAATCAATATAGAATCGTTTTTATTTTTAAAGTAAATTCAGATTGAACATAGTAAAAAAAATGTAAATTATACTGTCCGTCCAAAAAAAAAAAAACATTACTTATAGTGAAAACCACCCTTGAATGATGGGATAGTAGACTAAAAGCTTTAGGAATCCAAACTATAACATATAGTACCCTGTATCAAGATTGATGCAAAACAAGTGAAATTTGACCTTTTTAGAGAGATTTAGCTAAACAAACCCACCTTTGGGGTCATTTGGGTGGATTTGCCGTTTCTCTGGAACCCATTGGTCGATTTTGGTGACATCTCTTTTGAACCGTTAGAGCCAATAGAATCGAAGGGGAAGTTCCACATACACACACACGTTACCATTGAGGAGTGAGAGTGACGCGCACGCAGTCGAAAGCTATGTTACGCTCTGAAAACTGAAACCTGAAACCTAGGCTCAAACTAGTAAATATGAAGATGGATTATCAGTAATCATTTCAAAGTGACACAGATTGGATTAACCTTCAGCAGCGTTTTTATCGTTTTGATGCCATTGAACACAACTTTTGATCAGAACAGCAAAGGTAAGACTATTCACGTTTTTGCTCCGTAAAGCTACGTTGTGTGATGTCTGGGTTTGTTTCCCATGCCGCGAGTTCTGGTCGCTCAGTGGTGATACTTATATTTCTGGAATCTGTGGAATCTCAGCTTGCCTTGTCTTGTTTGTGCCGATCCGATAAGTGGTGGAGTGTTTCTACCGAGAGTTCTGTGCTAAGTGCGATAGCATTTTTTCGCTCAGGGCTAATTCAGAGGCTCGGCGTTAGCCTTGTGTTTCGTTTGGCTAAAAATTGTTCATATCGTCAGTCAGCTGAGTTTCTTCCCATTAAGTGGATATGACACATTCATAGTTTGTTAAATGTTAAGAAGCCCTCAGACGCTGTTTCGGGGGCATGGGGCTTAACAGGTAAAGAAAAATCGACTTTGTAGAAAACAAGTATCAAATTTATGATTCTGGATATCCCAACTGTAACGCAGCGTCCACACGGCGGCGTGCGTTGAAGCTTGCCGGTGAGCTTGTCTGAAACTCGACCAACAACCAACACATGAATTTCCCGCCCCGGACACACAAGTACACGGTTTTATTGGCTAGAGCTTGTACTGGCATATGATTTGATTGGCTGACGCTTCCGCCGAAGCTTCAAAAGTTGAACATTGCTCAACTTTTGAAGCGAGCAACGCGAAGCAACGCGAAGCAACGCGAAGCAACGCGAAGCAACGCTCCCACAATGCAGTTCGGCAAAGCGTGACGTCACCCCATTCAAAGTGAATGGGCAGAAGCGTTGAAGCTTCAACGCACGCCGCCGTGTGGACGGGCCGTAACTCAAGAACCACATTGGCCCAATAGATTTTTATTTATTTTTTAAACATGACTGAGCACTTAACACAACCAACAGGCAAGGTTAGTGCTTGCAACATCCTGCCCACTAGAAGCTGAACTCGTAATGATTGTGGACATTTCAGATACGACAAAAAGGGGGGCATGGAGGAAAAACTGTGCATGTATAGCTGTCCAATTAGCACATAGTAGTTTTACAGAAGGACCTTTGTAAGCGCAGAGGGCTTGTTGGTGAGCCGGCAGACAAGAGGCAGGGCTGTGAGGAGACTGTCTGCTTTAGTACTGACGGTACAGTGAGGGATCCCAAACTGTCCATTAACATTCTTCCGTGTGCCCGTTTTATTACAGCCCAGCCAAGTCAGGTTTTGGCTGCAATGAGACCCAAATATTAACATAATTGGTTCCCAACGAAATGTAATTAGAAAACATTCCTAATTTCACTCTGAGGCAGCAGGGCATTAGCTTTGATAGGCAACCGTGTTGAAGCAAACACAGCTACAGTCGCCAACTTTGAATCACCATTCATACTATAAAGATGGAAGTGTACAACTACTTTCACATTTATCTATTTTACACTGACCACTAAACGTACTGATCTGTTATTGGACCTGCTTCACCAACGTACTTAAAAAAGTTTTTTTTAGCAAACTATAATGGTGCTTCACAAGAAATACTAAGCAAATTGTTATCATTATCATACACTGTCAAAGCAAAGACACAAATGGACAGGAACGGGCCCAAATTCATAGCAGGATATGCGAATGAGCTAGAAATGTGCGGGCACTGTGTTGTGAACGCTCATCAGGGTTCAGAGTCTTCCGACAACACTGAAGTCCTGACGTTGTCAAAACAGAAATGGACAAAACTTTTTTTGTAGCTGTCAGTAGACATCCGTCATAAACAATAAACATATTAAATGCAGGTGAGTTTATGTCATTTTTTAAGGTATACAGTATGTAGCTATGTATAAAGAATAACATTATTCCTGCATCCTTTTGATCTGTATATTGCAATTAAATCAAAGGAAAAAACTGTTAATTTTCAGTTCATACTGCTCTGGTTATAGGTAAATAGATGAATTGTTGAAGTAATGTGAATAGATACTATTATTCCTTTGGTCAAACTTGGCTAAGCAACCCAATGCAAAAGGTCGTTTCACTTAGCTTAGTTTGGTGTGATAGGATGTTTTATGACTGCTGTTGATCAAGAGGTTTTAGGATATGTACAGAGAATAACTTTCCATTACATCGCATAAAACACTCTTCTGGCTGATGTGAAATAGTACATTGTGTGGGAAGATATATTACTGATCATTACTGATTCTCACCAATTCTTAGTCATCACTTCTGTGTGTTGATCACCATACATGTACATGCACTGATGGCTGCTTTAGTGTAATCATAGTCATTGGGGACCACCAATTGTTACCCTGGTCGCGTTGTTTAGTTGCTGGTAGTGAGGACAACAGTGTTGCTTAGAAACAACATTACCTCATCCTGCATTAGCATGCAATGCTGAGTCACAAAGAGGAGGGCCCACTGCTGCATGCTAAAAGAGGACATGCAGTATGGCAGCTGGGGATCTACGGCAAGATGTTAGAAAATCAGGCTTACATGAAATAACATTAGCCAGCAACACGGTTAAAAGCATTAGTAAGTGCACGGAGCACACCGGCTGGACGTGACCGACAGACCCAGAAACACTAGTCAACATCTACTAGTCATCTTATGTTTTACAACTGATGCCAAGCCCATACATCCAGTGTAAAGTAAAACTGTTCTTGTCTCTTTAATGTGAAATATATAGTCTATTGGCAAGGGATCAAAAAGCTGTTGATGACTGCTGATTCAAACTCCTGACATTTATCACGGCACCTGCTGTTGCTCATCTCTAACTCAAAATGTGTGAGTAAGCCCGGACAGGAAGCATGATGAGGCAAAAAGCATAGCTTAACCTGGGAAATGGAGCACGTAGTACTCTGCTCTCAGACACCAACAGAGCCAAATATAGGCAGCAAGCCCCCTGGCACTCTGCACTGGGACTTCAAAAAAAGTGAAATGTTACAAATATCTAGCTCAACTAACTGACAGTGGCACACAAATACAGCTGGCACCCAAACAAAGCTGAACACGCTTCAGTTGACAGAAAAAAAAGCTGTAGATACAGTTTTATTAAATTAAAAAAGGAGACAAAATGATTCTTCCTGAGTCAGAGGACGTGGCCAATTTGCATTAAATATAATCACAGCAGCAGGGACGGGTCTGCGTGTTGCTCTGCTGTGGAAGAGACCCAACAGGCCCTGCTGAGAGGGCCATAGTTAACATGCTGTACAGACCGCAAGCTGCATTGAACACGCTGTGCTCCAAAAGTAGGCTCATGAGTCACCAGCAGCTAGCAAGTGCAGCAGAAGATCCTGTGTCACGTTTTCCTCTATGAAGCCTTCAGCAGCAGAAATATTAGAGAGAGCGCCGGGGAGAGAATAACACTCTCTCACTTGTGAGTCGTGACTTCCGGTTTAAGCAGCCTGCCTGTGAGGACACGCACACAAATGCATGCATGCATATCGGCTTGCACGCATACAGGGGGAAATGCAGCAGGGTAATAAATATGTTGCGGAAGGGAATGCCTTTAATCTGCTTGCTCAGCTGTCAGGGAAACTATCATGGGATGCCCTCAAACACAGAGAATAAAACAAAAGCAGAGACAGAATGAGGTTAGACACTTTGTTTAAGTGTCCTCACATTGCTGAGCAGGAAATGAAGAACTACTAGGAACACACTGTCAACTGTCACTGATAACTGTTTCTTGCTAAATTGGCAGAAAATGCTCTTTTCAGTCCCTCAAATGTCCTGCTTTTCAATAGTTTGTTATAATGAGAAACTGTACAGTACATCCTTGGTTTTTTGACTGACAGAACCAGACTTTAAACTCACTTTGAGAAACTTTGATGGCCATTTGTTCTTTCTTATCGATTAATCTAGAAGATAATCAGCAAATTAATCAATGCTTAATACTCTAGTTAATTGCAGGCCTATTTAGTAATTAAAAAAAGCATAACACTAAGCCTTATTTGAACAGATACTCTTCGAAGGTTATACATGCTTTCGTTGGCCAGCAGACAGTGACCCCCTGGCTGGGCAGATCCCCTCATTTACCCTTTGTCCAGTTTCTCCAGACACATAATGCTCAGCTCCATTAACCAGCAGACAGCCAGAGAGCACTCCCTCACCACACCACAGGGCACAGCGCTAGTTGTCTGTCAAAATGTTGCTTCTGGCATCTTCACCGTGAAATAGACTTAAAAATCCCTCTCACTTCAGTGCTTTTCACCTGCCTGTTCTTTATCCTCTGCAGTAACTTCTGCTTTTTTGTGAAGAACAGTGGAGGATACAGACATCTTTTGGGGACTGACCTCTAAAGGTTAAATCTTAGAATGTAAAAGTGTATCATTACAAAAGAGAAAACTTTCTCCAGTTCAATTGGAGAGTCATTTTTGAGATGGCTTAGATCAGGGGTTCCCAAACTTTTCAGCCCGCGACCCCCAAAATAACAGTGCCAGTGACTACGTTTTCCGCACTCTCGCAGGGATATCTCCGCAATGGAGCGAGCTTAAGTTTCACTTTCGATTGCATGATATAGCCCAGCGCAACACCTTCGTCACACATGTTGCCATGCGATTTGTAATCTGTTCTACAAAAACGATGTGTTTTTAGGATTTCAAGAAGCATATAGAATAAACAATGGATGTATTTTATGAACATTTATCCATGCTGAAAGTAGATTTAGATGTTTTAGGAGTGAGATAGAGATTATTATCTAATATATGCATCCAATGAAGCTTTCCATGAAGAGGCTGTTGTTGGGGCTGCATAAACGTTTTTTTATTTTTGTTTTGTAGGCAGACCATGCAGGCCAGCCCGATGGTTAACAAGGTTCATGTTTTAATAGCATTTTTACAAAAAAAGCCCAGGCGAGCCTAACATGTGAAAATATGGCTTAGACCTCAGAGAGTTAAAATTGGGCCTGCGGAGTTAGGTGGTCCGTGAGTGTTTTTTTATTGGTTAAGTGGTCCTTGGTATGAAAAAGTTTGAGAAACACTGCTCTAGTGGATTGTCAACGGGGGAGCCTCGCTGCGGGGAAATTATACAGATGGCTAGTCCGCCCCTGAAAAATGTCTATGTACCCGTTATTATTAATAATAATTTTTAAAAATTGATATTTTTTAAATGTTCTTAATTTTCTTAATTTTTATTTTGTAATCATCTCGCGACCCCCCCCCCCCACTTTGGGAACCCATGGCTTAGATGATGAAATGTATTCAGGAGAGAGTAGACCTCCGGCTGGTGTGTTTTAATCTCTTCGCCAAACAGGACCTATTTCCTAAATAAATACCAAATAATTTTTTTTTCTGTTAGTAGGATCAGCCTTTTTTTGCAGAACGTGGGCAGCGGCTGCACTGACATTCAAATATTTAGACATACTTGGAATGTTTAAATATGTCTTGATTTCCTGTACTGTTAAAGTGTTAGGACAGTGTCATCAATTCTCCTTCACTGTCTGTCCTGCTGAGGTATGACTCTTATCATAACTTGGCAATCACACTATTAACACATAATGAGATCAATATCTGAAAGTGCTCCTGGTGGTCTGCTCAACAGACATGTAGCCAACATGTCAGAGCAGACAAGGCTCTGGAGGGATAATTGTCAATGGTTGATTAACAATGTTAAACTCACCTGAAGGCTTTCATCCTCCTTCACCAGCTCCTTCTGGGGGAACAGGTCCTTGGCCTTGATGTACTCCAGACTGGGAGGCCCTTCTTCACCCTGTGAGACACAAACAGAGCAGGCCCATCAGACACTGTTCTGGCACCATGCAGGTCAACACAACAGTGGGAAACACATAATAGAATACACAAATTAAAAGTAGGGATGCAGGATATAGATTTTTTTTTACAGCTGATACCATAACATCTAATTATGAATGGACCTTATATTTTACATTTTTGGATTGTAAAAAAGAAGCACACAACCTGTGGTTTATGCACACATAACGGTCTAACATGCTTAGATGTAGTTAGCAAAGATGGAGGATTTCATATTTAATTGATCTGACCTAACGATCACTATTGTGGAAAAAACAAAGAACACTTTTGACTCTTCAAATGGTTATTTCATTTGACAAGTTTGGTATATCACAACAATTCTGCAAATTGCATTCCTGTTGTCTTTTTTCTACAACTGTGAAATACCCAAAGAAGACTAGAATGAGGCAAAAAAAACAACATTTCATAAAACTAACCCAAAGTTAATATATCTCATTGAACATTTATCTGGGTTGATAGCCTTTGATGCTAGATTCATGCCAGGGGACATTTCACAATCTGCACAATGCGCAGAAGCCACGTAGGAGATTAAATATTCACTAATGCTCCAAATCTCCCTTTGAATAGGTGGCAACTAACCTTGAGATCCACCTAGGTGTTGAAAAGGTGTACCACTTGATGCTAAATAGCCTTTTCCTTGATTGATTACAAATAGGATGCTAAAGGAGGAACGCAATTTTTAAGAATTGATATTCTGTTTGCTTTGGCACTGTGCATGTGGTTATTGCATGAGAAAATGATAAGACGGTACTGGGCATGGGATGCCAGTAGACTTTGTGACTGGGTGTTACAGTCTTGTGCAAACAAAGATATAGGGACTTAGTAAAGTCTTTCACACACTTGACTAGTTTTCACGAGTCATGCTCTTTCTTTTAAACGATTTTGAGCAATAAGGAAGCACTTCCTCTAGGTCAGGGGTCGGCAACCTTTTTGATATGAAGTGCCATTACATTTTTTTTTATTTTATCAGCGTGTGGACCTGTCAGCGCAATTTACAGGATGCCGAATTTAACAAACAAATTTAAATAATTGGTTTGAACGTCATAATAATAAGGATGATCGTCCGTTCTGTGATTCTCCAGAACACACAGATGGCCAGTCCGCCCCTGTGTAGCATGTTATTTCGATGAGAGATGAGCAGATCGCCACTGGGCTTTCAACTAAAGACACAGCCACGCAAAAACTGCGGCATTTGTACAGCTCCTTATGGGTACTGCAATTTGTGAAGTGCTTTCCTCTGTGGTGAAACGATCAGCACTGCACCACGGAGGAAAGCGGCAGAAAGTCGCCTGGAGTTAAAGAGAGTGGGGCTGCGTTGCGTGCATGGCTTCTTTCTGCAGGTAACAGGGAGACGCGCTCTGGCGGCGGTCTCGTTCAGGATCCGAAAATAAAATTTCAATATTTTGCACACTTATTCCACTTATTCCTAGTGTGCCACTGGTTACGGTGGCACGCGCGCCAGGGGTTGCCTACCCCTGCTCTAGGTCAATGTAATCAAAGGTTGAATTTGAATACTATTAAAAAATCTGAGGGGAAAGCTTTGCCCTGTTAATTTCTCACTTAATTACAAAATATATAAAGTGCATTTATATATAAAGTGCGAAATATTGATGCGCATCATGGTTTGGATCATATTTGTGATGTTTAAATGCAAAATGTACCTGCATAAGTGCGTTTTTCTAAACATGGGACAACCTGCTAAAACAAATAGGTGATACGCTCCTTTTACAAAGACATTTCTGTAGCAACTGAGTATTCTCATCGGTTGTTGATGAACCCCATTTGCTTTCCGGCTGCCTGAACACTGCTACCTTTACTGCTCTGCTGGATTTGGCCTCTCAATCCGAGTAGGACCGTATGTCGACGCTGTTTCTTAATGAAAACAGCAACGGGGTCCTGCAGTAGTACTGACTCAGGTTGGTCGTGTGTCCCAGGAAAACAACACAATTCAAAATGCCATACATTACTTCTGGAATGCCTTTGATGTCTCACATGCAGACCTCCTGTCGTGTTTACAAAACATTTTCTCTTATCCAAAGGTCCAAGCCGCTGATTGAACCACATGATAAACAGACCACCCATTGGGCTTTTCTGCTAACAGATGGAGTTAGTGTTTCTACAGTGACAACCTCTCCTATACAAGTCACCAGGTGTCACCATTAGATTTGGAAGGCATAGAGATCATAGGAATAGAATAGCCAAGCCATATTATGTCAGCTTCTGCGACCTTACAGCTTCGTTGACATGGAAATGACAGCGTGTGCCTACAGCAGGGGTGGGGAACCTCCGGCCCCCGGGCCGTATACGGCCCGCGAGACCATTTAATACGGCCCTCGAGGTAATTTATAAACGCAAAAAATAAAAATAATTAAGAAATCTAGACTGCAAAATAATTAAACAAGCGAGTGCCTGTTTTTCCTGGCCAAGGTCAGGGTCCTTGAGCACAACACGAGCCTAACATGTCATCACGTGGTATATGTCTCGTCTGACAGGGGTGCAGTTCTGACGGAGAGCACCAGAACGCCTCTCCTGCACTTAAAAAAAAAAGCAGTACCCATAAGGAGCCGTACACATGCCGCAGTTTTTGCGTGGCTGTGTCTTTAGTTGAAAGCCCAGTGGCGATCTGTTCATCTGACATACTGATCATACTGTCAATAACTTTGTTGTTATTAGCATCTGGTTAGCTAGCTATGCTAACGAATATAAGAAGCTTTTTCTCCAACCAGTGAGGTAAAGGCACATCTTTATATGATCATTATAGTTATACAAAAATAAGAGAATAAAGTAAACAGGTATAAAATACTATATGACAGTAAAACAAAGTTGTTATTAATAAACAAGAATACAGTTTGAAAGGGGAGTGATTAGTAAAATATCCATAAAGAAAATAAAATCTGTTTACAGTTCTGTTTCATATGGGTGTTGAGAAATGTATCCATAGATCTCCTAATGTTGCTCTCAAAGTGCACCAGATTGATGGTTTTAACTTCAACTTTTTTTTTTAATCTTCCCGGGGGAGCATGTCCCCGGACCCCCCTAGAGGAGGTTAGGTCCCCCCCCACTTAAATCATGTTCACATGGATAGGAAACTAAATACATTTGCACACATCTTGTGTCCATATCTTTCTGTTTTGGTGGTCATGCCACAACCGTGCATGCATGCATACGCGAGTCATGTTAAGATATCTGGATTGAGAGGTTGCTGTTTCTTTGCACAGCATGAAAGAAAGGCCACATGAATGGGCTGTGATTTTAGTTTTTTTAAGCAGAGGTCAATAATTTGTACGGCCCTCGGAGGATGTTGAAATAATTGAAATGGCCCTCGAGAGGAAAAAGGTTCCCCACCCCTGGCCTACAGGATGAGCCTTTAAGCAGAAACTAGACCAATAGCACTTTGCCGGTACAGATCGATCGATCTATCAATCTATCTTCTTCTTCTTAACCATACATCGTAATAAAAGGGCTAATTGCAGTCATGGAGCTGAGTGTCAAGGTTGTGCCCAACAGAGGCCTATCACTCCTAAACTGATGAGTCAACTTTAAGTGCTGTCTGGCATTACCATGGCCGTCATTTCCTCCAAATGTTGCCTTTATATTCATGCTAATGCTCCATTTCCAGATAATACAAACTAAATGTTATAATGCGTTGGAAATTTATTTTTAGCATATTGCTGCATTCACACAATGTAACCACAATTAGAAGAATAGGAAAACAACCCATTAGTGTTCATAGATTTTTTTTTGGCCCACCACTAGCCTTTTAGCCGAACACATAGATAACCAAAATGTACTACTTTTGAGAAAGATGATACAAACAGTGTACATGTCATCTTAAGTAAGCTAAGCAGGTTGTATTAACCAACCATTTTCATTTTCACACTTTGTAATTCTTCAACTAAATATTATTGCCTTCAAAACATTTGTTCATCTCTGATACTGGATTAAAGATCTTAAGCTCACATAAAAAAAAATGTTCCCCACATGGCTGCTCCTAATTCACGAACAAGCTACAGTAATGAGCCTTTTTCCAAGTCTAAATGCATATAAAACTCATTCTGAGACAGATATATTGCAGCCATACTAAGTGCGTCATTTTCAGACTGGTACACTTGCCAGCCCAGAACTCATACAAATCTCTTTGCAATGCAACGCCACTAATCTCTAGACCTTTGACCTGAGTCAGCCTCGGGCATCAGACTGATTTGACAGCACTGTGTCATCAATTTGACTTATTTTCACTCGAGAGTGGCTGGGCCATGACAGTAGCCATCAGTCAGAGGCGTCCTGCGAGGGTCAGGTCATTATAGGTTGATCTCACAGACTGTCGCTGGGCAGTCTGAACCACCAGCCTGCAGTCCAGGTACAGACTCATTCCAGTCTTATTTTTAAAAAGGAATAAAGATGACATTGGCGTGCCAGACAGCCATCATAAATCACTGGAGGAGATATTGCTATAGAACCACCCCCTAAGAAATTCAATGCAAATCAGCTGAGAGCAATTGCATTCAATCTTTAAACACACTGACGCACACACACAGATCCTACATCAATATTCCATCCACTCCTTTGGATTCTATCTTTTTCTTGTGCTGCACTCCCTGGTAGATACTTGGCACCATTTAACTAATTCTCTTATGGAGCTGTCCTGACGTTGCACTCCTCTGAGGCCCACAAGAACACAGTGTACTTGAAAACAGCAACAAAGAAAATGCAAACTAATAATGATTTAGATATTGTGTAAATACACAACACAGGCTATAAACACACACCGTCTATACATGATAAAGTGGTGCTGAACATATACACATTACTCATCATGCAGATAACCTTGATATTACAGCTTCATGAAACGGAGAAGACTTGATGTCTACTTTACATTCAAACACAAGCCTAGAGGCAGCTCGGCTTTCCATGATTTTGTCCATGCAGTAATGTCTGGACAATCATCCTACACATTGAAAAGGAAAATATAAATGCTCTCACTTCCACCCCACTCACAAAGATGGAGCGCAGCTTGTCCTGTGCCCTACAAGTTTTTGCTTCGTCACTGCTGTGAGCCTGCGCACCCTCCCCCCATTCCCCCCCCCCCCCCAGCTTTGTCCACCCAGCAATCAGAAAGCTGGAGCTGACAGGCATGCGCACATACACACGTACGCCACCATGTATTTCTGAAATATTAATGTCAGAGTGTATAACACATGTTATGTCCTGATGACATGAGTTGCAGTACAGTGACAGGATCAACTGGCAGCTGACTAGACTTGTCAGCTGCCAGTCTAGTCAGTAGTCACTCTTACTACTTTTAAATCCAGGCTGAAGACTTTTCTTTTTGCCGCTGCTTTTAATTGAACTATTCATATCTTAAACGGCACTGTAACTTTTATCCATGTATTTTTTTTCTTTTAAGGTTTATTTTATTATCTTTGCTTTTAATGACTGTTTTTAAATGCCATTTTCTTAATGTCTTTCATTTTTGTAAAGCTCTTTGAATTGCCTTGTGTTGAAAGTTGCTATATAAATAAACTTGCCTTGCCAGCCCAGATACAGCAGTTAAACAGTGAGGATGTGAAGGCCTCCTTTTTTTAAACTTAAATAAGGTTTTAATGCTCTGGGGTGGTCTGTTGGAGAAACTGTCTTCGATGGATTTATGCATGAGAGTGAATGGAAAAATGACAATGGTAAAACAGGTAGAGAAAAAGACACAGGCATATGAATAAGTGTCTGGTTGCCATGGATACAACAACCTCTTTTTCGAGGCCCTCTCTCTGAAGCTTTTGGAAACAATGTGCTGCTGCCTTTACTCACCAGATTATTGACTTAATCTGACCGGGGCTTTGTCCTGGAGTTGTGCAGATTAGAGAACCACTTCATTATTCAGAGGTGACCTTTTCTTAATATGAGGGGAACATGTGCTTCTATGTCTGCTTTTTAGTATCCAGTGTTTTCGACATATTAAATGCAAACACAGCTTGGCACATTGAAATGTTCAAATGTAACCCAAAACTGTTGGAAAGGATGAGGGTGGATTGAAACAGAGGATGAAATGACAAAGCAGAACAAAATATGTAAATATTACAGAACTAAATATAACATTTAAAAAAAATCAAATATCTTCTTTTCTCAAGTTGTGTTCGTTGGTGCAGTCATAGTTTTAGGTCAAGCCCAAAGATGGCAGAGCATGACAAATCTTTCCAAATGCACTTTTCTTTCTCCCCGTCCTCCCTGAAACCGTGTTAATATTTTATAGTCCACCATGTTCTAAATGATCACTCCCATTTTTAGTCTTGGGCCGCTCTCAGAGAGCTGAGGGAACGAGGCAGCATTTTGGATAAGTAAGCAGAACTGAAACATACAAAGTGAACAGATCTTTCTTTGTTAAACATACCGGTTCCTCTTAAGAAAAACACAAGGTGACATTGAGCAGATGTAATGAACTGTAAAACTAGCAAGGCGAATGTTGCATTGAAAACAAACTGAACTGAATTATAATTCAAAGGTAACACACAGTGAAAACAGAAGGAGTTGAAGGTAACTTTTAGGCAATTTATACTGAAAACAAATGAAAAAGAGTCTCAGGTATTCTCTCATTTGAATAACATTCTTTCAAGTAAAGAAAGGCAACATGCTCTGTCTCACTTTGTTGCATTTGTCCTCCAACAAGACCTTGTGGTAATAATATCATCCTCAGATAGGGTTGCAACTCACAATAATATTATTATTATAGATTGAACAGACAGTTGTTTGATCTATAACATGCCAGGAATAGTTTCTGAAAGTCCAAAGATGACGTCTTAAAATGTCATGTTTTGAGAGTCCAAACTCCAATTACCGTCAATTCAATTTGGTATAAAAGCAGGTTATCTTCATATTTGAGACACTACAAGAAAATACATTTCTTGCCATATTTGAATGAAAAAATTACTAAAGGATAAACGATTATCAAAATGTGTGCGATTATTTTTCTGGCACTGGCTAACCTATAAATCAACTAATGGTCACAGCTCCATCCTCGGTGACATAACACATACTGTACAGCATAGTTCTTAGCAATATGACTGCCTTACTGTCAGGTAGATAGTTACAACTCCCATCACAGAACCAAGGGTGCAAGAAGGTATAGCCTAAAGCTAGCATATCCTCAAAAGGCTTTTGGCCTGATTCATTTAGCTAGTGGGTATAATATAATCTGAGTCATGGAAAAATCTAAACAAATTCAATCAGGCTTTTTAGAGTTCCATTTGATGCAGACAACATATCGCAGAGGGATATAAACATGATATATTGGAGATAGAGGGGACAGTAACTGAAGATTGTTTTCCATCAGAGTTGGATAACAACACAGGCCAGGCTGATGTAAACTTAGCACAACGCTGCAGCCCTCTTCCACAGGAGCAGACTGACAGAGCTGTGATCCACAGAGGACGTGGACACTAAATTATACAGAGACTGACGCAGAAGGGGAACTGCCGACTCAGCTGCACCACAGGACATATTAAAGCGAGATCATAAATTGTGTAATGCCGGACCATGTCTGGTTACAAAGGGCCGAGAACAGGAGCCAGCAGCTGTGCTCTTCCTGATCCAGCTGATAAAACTTTACGACCAACAACTTCTCTGGAAGAAACAGTGATTGAAATTAAAGGAGACCTTTACAAATGTTAATGATGATTGTTGTCATATAAGCATCCATAACTGCAAGTAAACCTACAATGTTGTCAAGATACAGTACAGTACTTACAAGCACAACACAACACTCGGATTGCTAATGCTTTTAGTAGTATGATCAAAATTGATTTCCATTAAGTGTTACTACTGCCATAGCTATCGTCTGAATATATTTAGCCATGCGAGCTACATGGCTCTATGAGTGGCAATATCAGACTGTTGGTCAGTCGGCCTGTGGACTAGACTGAAATATATCAATAACTATAGGATGGATTGCTGTGAGATTTCTGTAGACATTCATGGTCTCCCATGACTTATGAAGTCAAATATCTCAACATATACTGAATGCAGTGTTTCCCATATACAGTAACTCCACAGGCCAAGTGGAGAACCTGCCAAAAATAATGCCATTGCAGTGTTTTCCTTATATTTCTGGAGTGTCTGGAAAGACCAGAACGACCATTACTGTAAGTGTCTGTTATCTGCTGAAGTCAATGGGACAAGAGTTTGGTAGAGAACGACATGCTAACATGCTGACGGATTCAGTGCTTTGGTATTTTTAGCTGAGCTAGTCCAGACAATATTCGAAAAGAAGAAAAAAAAAAAGATTGGTAATTCTGTTTCGACCTCATTGTTCTTTATAAAGATTTGCAGAAGTGTTGTGATGTAGCCCTCGAGTGCGTTTAAAAAAAAAAGAAGCTTTTTAAATGTTCAACTGCCTGTCAGCAACCAATCCTATTGTAATTTGTGAGGCAATTTAGCCTTGTGTGCTTAGAGTAATTTAGCATGCAGTGAACACAGCAGTCATAGTTTTAATCAAAGCTCAACTCCTGGACATTTCTACTGCTGTTCTTCAACACTATTGAATATGAAGTTATTTGTTGTCTAGTTAAAAAAAGAGACTTGCTCTAATCTAATACTATGTTAATCCAGTGTTTACTAAACCAAGACAGTGCACTGTGGACATCACTGAAAGGTCAGGGGTCCACTTGTAAATCATTAGCTAATTTAGGCTGAAGGGCAAGAGGCTAAGAAGACCCTGTATTGATCTTAATCCATAAACCCACTCTCACCACTGTGTCGAGATGCGACCTGAGAGAAACACCTGTTCTCCATCACTCATCGTCCCCTATCCCCTGTACATACCAACAGCACAACGTGCTCAATGCAGGTCCTTCACTGCAGTGAGCATACTTCACCACTCTGAACACAGTGTGCTCGCTCTGAGCAGCACACACATCTCACACATCTTCCTCCTGACAGGCCCTCACTCTCCTCCCTGCCAATCAACATAACGGCAGCTCAAGGCCGGAGTTCAGAGTAATAGAATAGCTTTTCATCATCATGCGCATGAGAAGACACAGAGGAGATTCAATTATTTGTATGTGGAGTGAGTGTAGGTTTCCCACCAAGAACTGCAGCGCTCACGTGTCCATCAACACTCCCTGCCAACCCCCCTTTTCCCCACAGATAGGCACACACACGCATGTGAGTTATGGGCATCTGATAGGCACCCATCACAAATAAAAAGCCTGTGGACTTACAAAGCAGTTGAGCATGGAGCAGGACACCCTTCCTGCGAAGCTCATGTCGAGGAGAGGCAGGGCTGTGCCTGAGCGACACGCAGCCTGTAGAGCAGCAGTACGACCAGAGCACGAGGAGCCGGCATCACCATTCTTCTCCCAGCCGGAGCCTGCCCCCCCCCCCCCCCCCCGTCCGCTCCGAACCCCTCTGCCTGCCGCCCCTCTCTGCCTCCCCCCCAAACCGTTTGCACGTCCCCTCCTTCTCAAGAGGTGCTGTGGGCCAAAACGCCAGTCCAGACTCTCATTCAAGAAGCCACCCTGCCCCCCCCACCGCTCCCTGAGTTGGGAGAGACAGCACGCTGGTGTCTGGAGACAGCCCCTGTTGCCTTGCTGAAGAAGGGAGGATAGTCCATAAAAATTCAAACGAGAGTCCACACGGTGAGCTGGAGTGAGGAAGAGAAAGTAATGGAATCACTGCAGATTTACCATTTGAGATGTAGCGAAAGGATGGGGGGGAAACTGCTAGAAGAGAGAGCCGGAGAGAAAGGAAGACGGAGGGAACTGCCGGATGCTAAGCTCCACCCTCTGCATGCGCATCTACCTCTCTCCCTTTCTCTCACATTTCTCCCCTCTCATCCCTTACTCCTCCCCCCTCCTCCTTGTTCACCCTTCACCGACATCTCCTTGTAAATATGCTTCTCCCTCAGCAACAAGGCGGTAAAGCCAGCCGCTGGCAACCAGGAGATGCTCCAACTGCCATGCATGTATCATATGATCGAGCCATTAACCGCAGCATTATGTGGCTCTCGCTCAAGCAAACACACGGTCCGCTTTAAGCTGTGTTCACACGCCATGCTGAAGCAAACTCACACACACGGAGAACAGATAGAGACCCCATCCAGTGGTAGGACAGTATCCCAACACAGATCCGTTGCATTGGCAGCGATTGATCGGAGGAAAAATGTGTGAAAGGAGGGAGGGCGGGGAGGAGAGAGAGTGTATGCGGAGATTTCCAATGACACAGCATTCTACAGACACAAATTCCCCTCACCTGTGTCCGAGTGTGTTGTTGGCACTGTCCCTCACAAGAGCAGGGCATCTTTGCAGTGAACAGAGCCTAACTGCAGCAACTGCCTGTGCCTAAAGTCAGGGAAGGTCACTGGATGTATAGGGTGTATATATATATTATACAACAGGGGGACACTGAGCCCTTCCCCCTCTTACCCAAACCTCCCCCCAGTAGAGTCGTGACAGCCGCTCGCCTTCAGCTGTATGACCCCACATTATGTAACACGTATAGCGTAGTACACGCAGCATGATGCACGACGCAGCAAAACTGAAATAAGGATTCATTTTAGTGGGGGAGGGGCTGTAATGTCTGTCTGACATGGGAGATACAGTTATCACTGGATGTATCATGTATATCCATCTATACAGTGCTTCTGTCCAGAGGGTATTTTACACAGAAAACAAGAGAACTGATTTATATGTAATCTAATTAGCGAGACGCCAATCAAAACTGCATGCAGGCCAAGAAAGAATGAGAATAATACTGAATTTACAGGAACATCTGGTTTCTGTCTCAAAAAATGTATTCCATAGTAGAAATTATAAGAAGTTCCCTCGTAATATCATTCTGGTATGGAAAAATCTTTACAAATTAAATAATACAAGGGTGTATTTATATCATATATAATATATATTATATTCTTTGGTAACAGCCATAAATGTATTCTGTGAGTTCATAGTGACCTTGACTTTTGATCCCCAAAATCAAATCATTTCATCCTTTACTCCAAGTGGATTTTTGAGCCAAATTTGAAGAAATTCTCTTCAGCAGTTCCTGAGAATGGGAGAGATGGACAGACGGCGGATACCCTGATAACATCAAGCCCCCAGCCTGGGCTGTCACTGATACAAAGGCATACAAACTTCATTTCATGCAGATTTTATAGATCCAAATTCACAATTTTTTTTATGCCTAGTCTGAGTTTTCTTCAGACGTATAATCTTTGTAATGGCAATATATTAAAAGGGGTTATGCTTATGCTGCAGGAAGCATGATGCATTGCACTCGTGTGCAGTATGACTTCCATCTCATCAGGTAATGGACTCAGCTGCTATGAAGTGCACTTCCACAAATCAAGCAGGACCTTACAGATGATCACTTTCATGTCACATGGTAAACCTATAACTTGCTGTATTTATTAACCCAGGGCGATGGTGGGATTAGGTAATAAAGCATTATGCATTGCACTAAAATAACAGCTTTACAAAAACCCTTACTTATATGGGTTTTGAGTGTAAAAAGCGTGTGTGAGCTGTCATGGTGATTAAGAAGTAGGAGAATGTGCAATGTAAAATCGATGCCATGTTCTCAGTCGCATGATGTGTGAAAGAAAATCGCTCAGCATCACAGATGGTTTTATTGAATTGGCAAAATCCCAATGATTAGGGCTTCTCATATACACGAGTGCTTTTCTTTAAATTAGATTAGCGAGACTATAAAATAAATGGAATTGTAACTCTTATATTCAGGCTTTCAGTTCCTCATTAAACAGTGAAATATGCTTTTTGTAAATCAACTTTTCTATTTATTAGTACATCCAAATTTAAATACAAAAGCTGGAGGGACAATTTCTAAATATAGCAGCGTAATTATTAGGGACATCCTAATGTGTCCACAGTCCAAACACTGAGCTGCATGTTCCCCCTGTATGCCCGCCCAGCCCCGCCAAAACCGGCTGCAAAAGTGAGCTCCAGATTTGGCCTCTTGTGTCTCGGGATTTATTTTAGGAAAGGAGGGCAGCCAGTCACCAACCAGCGAGTGTTAGCCCACATGTTGACACACAGCTATAGCAGGACATAAATAATACACCAGGCACTAGCTGTGTTTATGGAACTAAACTCCATATAGAGAGATACATATTTGTACATTTGTGTTTTAACATGCCTAATATAATTTAAATCCATACTGTACAAGCTGCTGTCTGTTACTATTCTGCAATTGCAGTTTACAATAAATGTGTCCCACCTAATTATAATACTTTTCTAGGTTACTGTAATGAGTCCTATTTGTAAGGAGTGTTTTATAACAGTTAGCTATGTCAACTTCGACATTTTTGCCTGAAGCAGGAAGTAGTTGAAGTGATGCATTACACAAGCATTAGCATGTAGGCGGTGTCCAATAAACTGACTACAAGTTCACAAGCTCCCCCACATAACTTATGTCCATTCAGGCATTCATTTCAAATTGAATATGGAAATATCTTAAAACAAACAGCAGTTCTGGTCCACAGACTCTGATAAAAGACACAAAGATGAACAAAACAGCAAAATGACCATTAGTTGAATTGAATGAAAGGACAAATATATGGAAGCTTTGAGAGGTGGGTGAGAAAAAACAAAACACAGAAGAGAAAACAGTTCAAATCGACTTGGAAATGGGTCACCAGCATTTTGCGACCTAAGGTCAGGAGGACAAAGGTTTTTCCAGGGTGACATGTCTATGTTTGTCTTAGTTATTATTATTATTTCTTTGTTATTGTAAAAAACATTTCTGGTCTGTGGCAGAAATGAGTGTTTTCTAAATAGGACTAAAAGCTTGTTTTCTAACATTATTGTTACATCACATACTCAAACACACTTGTGTGAAGAGTGCATTGAGGAATTTAAAACCACCAGAAAAAAAAAAATACATGAATCCATTAAGTCCTTCTTTAACACATTTGAGTTCTGAGCTTCAGCCTCTTGTGGCCACCAGGAGTATTACAACAACAAACACAGAAGATTATCCAGACTAAAAAAAAAGTCTTTTATTTTCTTTAATCTCTCACCTGTCTCCCCAGATTAAGACATTTAAAGATGATCCTGGCACAACTTCTTTTTTTAAATCAAGAAAGAAAAATAATTTAGATCTGAAACATGCCTCACCAGAATAATCTTTCTCCCTTGCCTCTAATGGCTTCTGCAGAAACCAGACACTGACCCAGAGCAAGGTCAAAAAGTCCCTTCGAGAACAAAGTTCACCAACAACAACCTGGAACGCCTGGCTGTAACTACAATCCTCACTGAAAGCTTCTGGCGTCTGGTCAGAAAAAGGCATACATACAAGTGATCTAAACTTCATGCTAGCAGGTAACCATGGAGCAGAAAACTTCACCTGTTACTTCCCCCACAGCCTCACCAAGGTAACATAACCATGCATTATGGGTACAGAGTGCACGGTAAAACAACCCCATTGTCCTAGTTTCCATGCTTGCATTATCCTGCAAATAATACGGCAGCATGAGAAGACGGCAGAGTGAACTCAATACTTCCCGTTTTGTTTAAGTGCAATAGAAACTGGAGGCTGGAAAGATTTGACTGTGGCTGTGTCACAAGGTGGGATTAAAGGAATCGTATTACCTGTCAAACAACTGTCTCACAGTCCCACCTGAGAAAACTAATCAACCCAGTTTCACAAATAAAATGAATGTCTGTGCATCTTCATCATGGAGTAACTCGATATCTGTCATGGCGTTTTGCTAATCTTCAGTTATTTAACTTGTAACTTTTTTCAGTGATGTAGAAAAAGTATGTTGGGTTCAGTGCACCCGACACCTTATGAGCACACTTCTGACCACACCTGAAAGTGCTACTACTACTTCTTCTTTCAAATTAAAAACTACAGACATTACATGGAAACAAATGGTGAGGCGTATCACCACCATGTTTTTTGTATCTTCCCAATAATTCAAGTGTTTTGGGAACATATTTGGAGACTCATACATTAGATTATTGGGCAGCAGATCCAAAATGACTAAATGGCCCCTACATTTGGGTTATCAGCCAGAACAGAAGGTAGGACAGGGAAATGGCTAATACTCTACTAGTAGCAGCAAAAAAAACAAAATGTCTGGACTCATTAATGATTACCTATTAAAAATAACTGGCTTGGAATCAATAAAGAGAACCATGACATGGAAAGACTTTCCTGCCAAGATGTGGCAACAACTAATACAGACAATTATTTAAAACATTTGTGCTGGAAAGTGGGACCTGCTTACCGTTTGCCATCATTAACA